TTATTCTAAAAACAGGATTCGGTTCAGTTTCCTTTGAGCAAAATAGCATTTCGCGATAAGAAATTTGCAGGATTTTGCATACAGATGAACTGGCGTTACAATAATGCGTGTTTCATACACTACAGAGTTTACAGCATGACTCACTTACACACCTCTGTGACTGAATGTAGATTTTGCAATGAGATTCCTGTTACTACAGATCATATTAAACGCTGTCATGTAACCCAAAACATTTGGAAATGTCGTCACTGTGGTTTCTGTTGTACCGGAAAGCACAATTACCAGCGGCAGTACCCAGGAAAGAAAAAAAATCAAGAAATTCTAATTATGTTCTGGTGGACAGCCATTAAGTGGTGGAAGGAAAGTGGGGGGGGGGTCATGCTGAGAATTCACAGAAAGCGAGTAGTTGAAACATTATTCATGGGCGGGGGGAGGAAGCAAGGGCAGACTTCTCGGTTACATCAATAAACCCTGATCCACTTTGCCCATGGCCATGCACATTACACGCATGACATAGCAGTGGGGAATCATTCCTATACACACATGTACAAGCCCACATTGCACATTTTCTCATTCAATGCAGCATTCCTGGGCTGGAGATCCGGCAGACCAGGAGAACTGCAGAATTCCCTCAATCTCAGTCTGTGTTTTTTTATTTTATTTTCAAACAATTTTGTTTTCCATTTTGCTTAGAATTGGTTTTAGTTTTGGTCCCAGTATATGTGTGCTTTTCCCCCATCGACTTAGAATGGTGTTGTAAAATTGTGGCCCGTCACCACAAAATGAGCTGAAAGTCAGAAGTCCCAAACATTGAGAGACTGGTGTTTTTGAGTTCAGCAGAAAGAGAGCTGTCCAATGGTATGTACATGGAATACTTCTAAAGGGTACCAGTATAAGGTGACAATGTGACATTATTCTGGCAGCTTTGCGTCTTTGTTTCAAACACCGTTTCAACATTTCTACTCTGGCACAAATAATGCTATCACAAAAATTGCAGAGAAAATGACATTTTAAAATATCTGATCTTGCAAAACAATTGGAAAATTTTTTAAATAGACGGATTACTCTTTCCAAATATAACAATACCAAAACACTGACCTAAACTTCAATATCTGACTGAACCCTTAAATTAGGAAAGAGCAAAATGCAACTTTATGCTCATTTTTCTGTGCCAGGTATGTGCAGTCGATTCAAATATAAGTATAACATATTCAGCATTTATGTCTTCACAGATGTACATATCTGTAGCACACGTCATCTAATTATTCAGTAGAAAATACTTGGCCATCCAAAAGTATACATGCATGTAAGTTAATATTCAGTGTTGGAATGTATAAAATTAAAAATGCATGCAAACAACACCGATTTTTGTTTTTGAATCAGCAGCACAGACTGTTTTCGGAAGCACGGTATGCACAAGTTAAAGAGAAAAAAATCAAACGATCTTCAAATGGAATACGGAGATAGACATTGTTACTTGGCAATTCAATTTGTTTTCTTTTTCAAGAAATTTGCGCTCCTTAAATGCCAAGCCTGCCTATACTGTACGTACATGTATATGTACATGTACACTTGCCTCCAAGAGTATCTCGCAGCCTGCGCACTAAATTTGTCGACTTCCTGAATCATGCTTCCGAGGCATGTTCTGTCGGTGCCCAAAAAAAAAAAATCCAACACAACAGCAAATAGCTTTTAAAGGATGACGGCTTTTATACGCGGGACAATGGGGGGAAAAAAATCATCTAGTAAATGTTAAACCAGCCTGCCAACGAAAGGTAAATTAACATAGCAAGCAAAAAGCTGCCTCAAGGCACTGGAGAATTTTTTATTTTTTTTTTTTGAAGGATCAAGGGGGAACAGATTTCTCCGAGTCAAACTGGAAGATGCTACAACTGATCACAGGATGCTACAGTAGTTTACAAACATATGGCCACGATCCAACCTTTGTCCAGATTGAATGAGAAGTTTTGCAAAATAAAAATTCACACCTCGAGTTCATTTAACTGTATCTAAGACGCTTCCTCTCAGGGAAAATTCTGTTCTGTCCTGTACATGAAATATACACACTTCCATTATTGTTACATGCAAGTAATCAATCAGTGACATCTGAATGTGGGTCTGGGAATGGGAACAGGCCTATCAATACTGTCATCTCAACCACAATACACATGCCACCAGAATTCAAAGCATTTGAAATTTGCTGGGCATCGGCAGGCAAGTCAACGTCAATCACCCTCTGCTAGAGAGATGGAGCAAATCCACCAAAATTAGATCAAATTGGTTTGGTAAAGGGTTCCCCGGGCTGTAGTTGCTAAGGATGGCTCCTGAAGACAAGTGACAGGGACCAAAATAAATCATCAATGTATACAACTCCCCCCCAAAAAACCCGAACCCTACAAAACAAAGCAAAAACAAAACCAATTAGCATCAGTTTCAAATCAAAGTTAACCAATTTTTGACGAGAGCGCATTAGGCAATTTGTGACAGCTGGGTGGAGATGAAATTCTAGCTCCTTGAAAACAGAACTACATGTATAGTAGTTAAAGAAATGACTCTTTTTTTAGATAGAGACTACCACACGAATATCTGGATATTTTTCTACTGTTAAATCTCAAACCTCCGTTGTTTAGGTTTTCAGATTCATCGTTTGGGCAAGGACGATCAATAACTAGCATACAAAGGTACACCTGACTAAACGCTCGCCCGCCAAGGTCCTCGCTAATTCATGTACCCTATTCACTTGGCACACACAGCCATCCAGTCATCCCACTGCCCACCGTGAGCAGCTCCTGTGGGCATGGCTTGACCTCTGGCTGAACTCATCCTTCCAACCCAGACTAATGGGGAGACGCACTCATGAATTATTCATGAGATGTGAGGGTGGCATCGTTGTTACAGAGCGCGCCAAGGAAAAAGACAAAAATCCTGGCTTGTTTTGTTTGGATGGTGAATTGTCCATGTGGCGACATTATCTCAGGAACCTTCATGGAACCTGTCAGGTCAGTTTGTAGCTTTAAAATCTTTATTCCTGTCCAAAGGTGGTTAAATTTCAACCATACGCAAGCTTTACCGTGGAAAGATATCATGTCCGTTCTAACACTAGTAACAGGGCAGCATGAGACAAGGAAATCCCTCCCCCAAAAAAGGGAGAGGAAAAATTGAAACACATTAAAAGAAAACAAATGAAGAACAAGGAAACAAAAATGTGTCAGGACTAATTCCCCGATTCCAATCTACAGTTACATGTATTTTGTCAGTCTATTTTGTGTGTGTGTGGGGAAAGGAGGGTTCAGTCTGGCCCACTCCTCCCCAAAATGTTGGCAATGCCCATGGAGCCTATCAGGTATGACATTTGACCCTGAAGAAAAAAAAATGAAACAGTTCCCAACAGATTCCCAGAAAGTATGACTCTGTATGACAAAGTAAGACAGAATACTGAAAATGAAGGAACAGGAAACGGAAGGACAAAAAAGTCTGATATCCTCATAAAATAGGAAAAATGTACATGTACCATGCCTGTTGTATGCTGCATGTAATCATGACTTTGTGACTGTGCTTTGGAGAGTAAAACTGATGAATCATTCATGAGGAATGTAGCCTTACATCACGCAGGCCTCATAACCACCATAACCACTACTGCAAAGCTGCAACACTGGGTTCTTGTCCAAGGAATTATTTACCAGGCCCAAGATATTGCACAAGCCGCATAGTATGTTTACACAACAAAGTCACGTTTTCATGAATCTAGATCCTTGACCTTTGCCCAATGGCACGAGCATTCCCTGGTCGAGGAAACTGAACTATGCATGAACCAATTTTCCTGAGTGGCCCTAATGCATAATTCATAAGGTATGATGTTGCAAAACGTTGCAACATACTGCAATGCCAGTTTGCTTGTGGTCACCACTCTGCCACGCTGACCCAAATTAAATATCATTTTTATGATATCTAGGACTTTCTATCCTCTGACAACAGGATTCTAGGACACCACATTTACTCCCTAAAAATTTCCATGACTTTCCAGGACAACCTTTTTTACCCTTAGGATGTTCCGTTAACCAGTGGGAAGCCTTCAATACACTCCCACCTCTCGCCCTCTACATGTGCTAACATATTCTTGATTAGGGCCAAGAATACGCTGGACAACTGGGTCAAGTGCACCAAGAAACCACGGGGGTGTGGTTTTCAACCATACAAGCGACCATCCCCATCAAATGCACTATTTGAGGTCCCATGTATGACTGTGCCGAAATGCACAACCACCATATCAGCGGGCAAATGCCGAACACCGCTTCCTACTCCGGTTCACATTTTTTGTAGTCATGCCAATGAACGAAATGATCAGTATTACTAAACGAGTGCAACGAGTGCTTTTCTCACTAAGAAAGGGAAACACGCACCTGGGTCCGGAGGAAAATTCCGAGTGACCTGCTGCATGCAGGCAATAGAGATGAACTTGACAAAGTGAACCCAATTAATCTTGCAATATTCTAAATAACCAACACTGCCCGGCAGGCTACTGGATATTAAAATGGACGGTAAGCTTGAAAAATGCTTCTGACGCCTTTAATCAGAGATGCCAAGTTCAATCCCCTTCTTTAATCCTGGACGAGTAATATGAAACCAAACCACACACACATCCTAACTGGATCACTTGTAATTACATGTGCATGAGGCACGATCAGAAATTCCCAGTAGCCCTGTGTACAAGCACAGTGTATCTTTTAAAATGTACATGTACAGTACATGTAAGCTGTGGGGGGGTACCATAAATATGGTTGGAATTTCTGTATTAAGCGTTGACTCTATTCAATGTAACCCTGGATTCTATGAGGTGTGACCAAACCACCTGTCATTATCCCAACACTGACTCCACATTGCTGTGGTGGAACTCCCATTTGCATTATCAGACGCCACCACTAGGCTACAAGTCGAGGGGGTAATATCGGGCACCATGGCACCGTTGCCAATAGTTGTGGGGCCAAGTGGTGTTCATGGTTTTAAATTGGAAATGCAACGTACCAGAACACAGAGTGGTATATCTGTGGTATCAGGGGACAGTTTTGGTTCAGGGAATTAGTCTGCAAACGTCTATGGGAGGCAAGAATCTATGTAAGCTGGCACAGTTTTTGCCAATTACAATTGCTTTACAGTTGCAGACAACAGCCAGAGTTTCTAAATATTTGCTAACTGCCAAAGAAGGCAACTTAACCAGAGACAAAACACAAATTTGTAAAAACCGCCCGTAACAAATGCGTAACATTCTCACAGGTACATGTAGGTACTCAGGGCACTGGGTTCTCTGGAAAGTTGCACAATTGAGTTTTCTTCCCCCCCATCCCCCGGGACAAATTTCTTGAGTCACCAGGGACAGTCCACACAAATCCAAACTCCCACAACAGTAGAGTTTAGAAAGAAAATGAATAAGAGTTGTTTCCTGAAGTTCGGACTATGGTTGTGCAAAATTAATGCCAAGATCAGGCGGGTCACTGCTACAACCATGAAGGACACCCTCCTCCCCTCATCTATTGAAAGGTAGCACTGGAAAAATAACGGAAACCACTTGTGCTTAATTTAGCAAAATAAAAATACACACATGTACACGTACAGGCACTTCTCCAGTGTTTGCAGTCTTTACCTAAACGACGCTGAATTCCCCAAACAAAAAGCCTTCAGTGACTAGTTTTTACAATTCTAGGATGGATTTGGGAGTGTCTATATGTGATCTATAAATTTACACTCTGCAAGGGTCTGCATGTGATGCCACATTTTCTGGGGCAAGAGATGGGGGGGGGGGCTGAAGAGAAATCCATAAAACATCCAACTGAAGGGCTGTAACTGACGATATATAATATTTAGATTTTCTTGACTTTCAGTGGCAAGTAACTGTCTAAAAAGGGGGGCTGAGTTCTCTGACAGTTATGTTCTGGGAACACGGAGAGTGCAAAGTGTTTGAAAGTAACAAACCAGGAATGACTAAAGCACAAAAAGTAAAGAAATGGAGCACGATTATAAAAACCCTGAAATCGAGCGATATCCCGAGAAATCACCCCGGCATTTTTCTCATTGGTTGATGCACCAAGACACCAAGGAATACTGCACAACAGAAACGGTTCCAGCGGGCAACGTCGACTACATGTATAACAGCTTAAATTTTTGCTACATGTACCTGCACAATTTTTCTGCCACTCACTTTTCTTCCCTGCACCGCTATACACAAATTTCTCTAGCCAATCACTCAGGAATACACACACATACACAAGGTGTGGACATTCCTTTGTTCTCCTGTGGTTGAGGAAACTTGAGGAAAATGCTCCCTTTTCTTTAACTAGGATAACTCCTTCCAGCTGGATTTTTAATGATGATTTCCTGGACTGTTCCTCTTCATTTAAAGTAATTACCGAAGTTTTTTGGGTTGACACTTTTAGAAAAGTCTGAAGGGGACTGGTATTTATGTAAATATGGGCTGTCTGTGGCAAATGGCATTATTTGGTGGTTTCCACTAATTATGGCAGAGGGTCTATTTCTTCTGGCTCAAGGTCAATAGCGTGTGGGCTCAACTTCTTTTTCATGGACGTCACAGCTGTGGTCCCACAACCAGGAAGTAAACAATGATACTTGTACAATGGACATCCTTTTAGGTGTAATGAGCACAGTACTGCAAAGAACAAAATAAAGGAAGGCAGGCCACTTTTAGTTTACTTCTAATCAGTGCTGTCTGGCCGAGACATCACATGAGCTGTAGACCCTAGGTTTAAGCCAGGGAATCATATAGGATAGACATATTTCCTTGTCCTTTCCCAGCCAAGTTACTGCGCAGGGATGGCATGTATATGTGCAAATTGTCACGAATACACAGTACTAAACTGTGTTTAAACATTCTGGGCCCATATTAAATGTATTATATTTGCCCGCATGAAGCAGTTACTGTTTTAACAGCACAACAGTGTATTTTCCAAACTGGTGATTTTGGTAGTAAATTAATTTGAGTGCTTCTGTTAATTCACTGTCTGTGAAGTTTACACAAGCTGGAGGCTACTAAAGATGTTCAGGGAATTAAACCATTACTTGAATGCGTAGCCCACAGAAGAGACTGTCAAAATTGTACATGTTTGTGGGTTAAGAAAAGTTTTGCTTGGAATCTCCACGTCCCCAACTAATTTAGATGCAACAAGAGCAATCTGTCCTCCATGAAAGACCGATCTGCTTCTTCGTCAGAAAATACAGAAATTGAACAATCAGTTTTGAGAAAGAAAACAAAACAACATCATACAAGTTGATAGAAAAATAAACACAAGTTTAAAAACAGGAAAATTGCCTGTTTTTTTTCCTACAACACATGAACAACACTGAGATGACTGAATACATTTTAAATTTTTGGCCCTGCAAACAACTGAAATTTCCAAGCCTATAAATAGTATAATATACATCACATTATCAGTAAAAGGCTGCTAAACATGTAAGCATAATTTACACTGTTGAGCACACACACACACTTTACATGTATACTAGTATTACTAGTTTTACAACACATGTAACTACAACAGTACAACAAGGCTCACACAAATGCATGTACGTACGTTCACGTATGCTCTTATCACCGCTCCTGACTGCAATGGCACTGCATCACACCCCTGCTCACGCTCACGTATCACATTGAATCACGCTCACAAAACAGGCCACGAAACCGACGTGACCCAAATCGACCAATATACTTTAGGATCTTCGGTAAATGATGCGAATTTTAGACCGTGAAGGCCGCAAAACTTGCGTGATTTCGCAATCACGTTTTACGTAGTAGCGACAATATGGGAGCCGGCGCAATGGAATGAACCAAAACAAAATGGCTGATCGATTGCCGGGCACGACGTGCTGAACAAAAATTACGATTTTCTGGAAACAGTGGTCGTCTGACATGAAATGAGTGAGCCGATTAGTAAAAAATAATCAATATATTAAAAAGATACGGTTGCTGTTGACGATGGATCTGTTGTTGTTGAAACTGCGGTGGCACACCTAATGGTTTGTTGCTCTTGTGTTGAGAATAGCTCATCGCAACGTGAACTGGACACGGTAGTCCTATGAAAGGACTCGCCGTTTTTCGCCTTTTCTTGGCGCTGTCTCCTGTAAAATGGATAAATATTGAACAAGTACAATTATAAATAAAGTTTCTCTTACCAAAGTTGTCCAAAATCGCTTACAATGCCCGCATTTACCACGGATGACGTGTGATTTAAAGGGATAGAACACATGTCCAACCTTAGCTTGCGATAGCCGGCTAGGGGACGAAGACAAAAGTTCGGCACATTTCGCGTATTCGGGAAATACGTCACAGAAATAAAGAAACGCAACCGTTGGCGGCGCCATATGTGACTAATTAGTGCGCGAATGGAATCGAGTGCCTGAGATACCAAAAGTAGAAAAATACAATGTAAATAAATAAATACCTAAAATAAACAAACATCATATTGCAAAAGAAACGCAAAAGCTAAAGCATAATCGCTTTGGTGGAGGTTAAACACACAAAAAGCTAACTCATGCAGGCATCTTGGCCCATGATGACGTGGCCTTTTGAAAGTAAGTGGACGGAACTGACCCATTAATTGGAAATTCCAATCATGATCTTTTCCCAATTATTATTTCTAATTTCTTTCTGGTCTTATTATTTAATAAGAGGCTGCAGGACATAAAGGTATACTAGTTTTGTCCTTTTGTCATTTGTGCATTAATTTTCATTTGAGTCAAGTTGCTCAAAATCTGAGACGGGTGTCTTATCAGTTAGCTGATAGTGTTTCCAGCTCAGTAAATGTTGTGTATTCCGAAGAAAACAACATTTTAGGATCTAGACGCAAAAATAATAAAAAAAAATTACTGAGTCATGTTTTGAATACGGGCGTTTCACAATAGTGTGCGTGTCGTGTTAAAGCCTGCCGGCCAAAAGTGCGTCTTTGGACCGTCGTTAGAAATGGCCTTCCTTAACTTTTTCTTCAAAAAGTCCCATGACCAGCTTTACAACAAGCAAGCTTTCAGTGAGTTCAGTTGATATAGTAGTGCAAAATTAACTAAAGCAGGGTGATCTTGATTTGCCCCATTTTATCTAATGGAAAGATAAAATGTTAATGAATACAATTCTACTAATAGTAATAAGTGAGGATTCAAAAACCAAATTGCGAGGAGTGCTATTTTTGACGGGGGCAAACGAAAATTATGGAATGTTTTTATATAAACCTTTTATGGCTTTTCTGAGGGTTGATGTGACATTTGGGTGCTCTTGCACACTATTAAAAGGACGTGGACGGAAATATGCCCAGATAGTTATCGTGCCATTATTATCAGTGTTATTTTATTTTTTAAGGGTTCGTTATTTTGGGGGACGCATGGTTCCCTGCCACCCACCCTTGGATCGGTCATTGACGTGATGTAGGATAGCCTACCTTCGGAATTTATGGCTGGGGCGAATGGTTGGCTGTTGCACGTGTGTGTTTTCCCAGCACGGGACGCGGTCTTCGGCTAGATCAAGAAGGAATAAACTAGTATCCATGACTAGGGTACGTACGTGTGAGACTATATATAAACGTATTATCATTTGACACTTGACTCTTGTCCCCTGCAAACTAATTAGGCCCAATAAATGACTATTTTTGTTCTGATAGCATATCATTCTTAACCATGTTTAGAAGAGCTTTTATTTTCTCTAATTTTTTTTAACAACAAAATGAAAACCCTGGTTTATAAATAGAACGCGCCACATAAATCACGTGACTAAAGTGCACGTGACGGTGCGATGGCGACAATCGTGATTAATTGACAATAAGTTTGGTACCTGCAATCATGTTGCAGTACAGTGCACATCTTGTATCTACAATGCTATATGTCAGTAGCGTAGCAGGAGGCCAGACTGCTTATTTATCATCACCAGTTTTATTTCACAATATCAAAAACATGACCATTGGACCTCTTGTGACTTTTTCAACAAATCGTCTGTCTATTTTCAACATTCCTTTCACTGAGTTTTCCACGAACTCGTCAGGGTGCGGTAGAGGGTCGCGTAAGCGAGCAAGAGTCGGTTACTGGAAACGGACTTTGGCTTGTAAGTTGTGGAGTCTTGACCCGCGTTTGACCGGCAAATGACCTGATGACCGGCACTTCACACACCGTCTGACCATAGATTTTGCCAGTTTTCTGGTAAGCAAAAAAGCAGATTGATCATAAACATTTAGGCGGGGTAAAGTGAATTAAGCGACGATACAGACATTTGAATTTAATTTTTCTGATCAGTTAAATTATTTATTGTCGTAAATGTGGTTTTGTTGTGACATGGAGGATTATTCCTCCATGGTTGTGACATGTCTGAACTTTAATCTGATTTATTAATCATGTTCAACCATGCTTCACCTTCACTTTATTTTATGAAGCGGCTATCGTTACAGCAGTCGTAACGCATTTCTCATTTTCTCTTGTTTCGGCAATGAACCGCGCAAGTACGATGACGTAGCTGATCATCACGACGGTTTATATATTTTAAAATTACCTGGATCGCTGAACGCTTGTTGCCGAGTGGTCAAGGTGGAAGGCTTGGAACCACTGTTGAATCTGCGCTTGGACCATTTAATTTTTTTTTGCCTAAATTTCATGGTTCATACCAATGTAGGCCCTAATCGTTGTTTATATTGGTTTCTAATTGTATCTATAGGCCTAAGCAGGAATCTTTTTTCTTTTCTCATTATTGGAGGCATTGGAGGATTTTTTTAAAGGGAAATAAATTCCGAAATCTTAATTTGGCGCGCTTGCGCAGTTGCAGTGCCGTAATGATAGAAAATGGGAGATTTAGATATAAATTTTTTTGTTAAGTAGCTAATGAACTAAAGGTTACTTTTTGGAAATTCACTTAAATTTGGTCCCAGGAGTTGGACCAGTCAGGGAATGTACTATTTTTGTGAGGTCTGCAAAGACGGGCTCTCCGCCTTTGACAAAAATGACAAGCACTTCGTTTTGTTCAGTTATCTTCGTACACGTACACGTATGTTAAATAATAATAAATGGAATGATTAGAGACAACACATGTACACCTGTATGCGCTTGATGGACAACAAAGACTATTTCCATACCGCAGAGTAAGGCAGATGATGGCCGGTTGTGTCAAGGTTGACAGGTCAAACAACAAAGGGCAAGGTTGAAAAAGAGACCTCACTGAGTTAAAAATTGGAGCTAGCCCCACAAATTTCTGGGGCTTGAATTGGAGAGCCAGCTCCGGAGGCGGAGCTAAGTTGCATTGTCAAGCATTTTACCTGTTGGTGCATTTAGAGCTACATGTACAAGTACATGTTTCTCCCGTGATACTGGTACATATAGCCCTCAGTCTGAACGACCCCTTGGTGTTTGTCGTTTGTTTTTCAGCTCCTTGGAAGAGAATCGATCAGCGATGTCGCTGGGCTACCCAATTGGGGGGCCTCATCCCAATCCACTGCCTGACGTGGATGTCAATTGCACCTTGCACAATGGGGTGCCGTGGGTGTGGCATGTGTTTGGCGAGTGCGTTGTGAACCAGCTGCAGTACGCAGGGTTCTTCCTCGGTCTTATCTCCATCCTCTGCTGGCTGGTGGTCTTCCTACCGTAAGTGTGGTCTTGCCAAATTAGGAGAGGGCTATTATCCCCCTATTATTCCCCTGCGACCTTTGACCCCGTCCTGAGCGCAGACATGTTGAACTGGTGCACATGCATGTTTGTAGTACATGTAATAAAATAAGATGGACAGAGTAATGTTCTCATACTGTGTAATGCACAAGCACAACTTAGAAATGATAAACATGTTTCCTCGCAGTATCCGCCCCAAGTTGAAGTGCACCCCCAAGCGGCAAAAGAGAGGCAGATGGTAATAGGTTTTCCAACCGGGTTCTTGCACATGTTCTACGCATACGAAAAGACCATACATTAAGGAACACACTCATTACGCGTACTCAGCGTACTCCACATCAAACGCGCCGTTGATCCCATTATAAATGCGCTCCTATGTGGTGAGGACTACAAAAACACGCCTTCTTCTGTTCCGCTCAGAGCGGATCGTGGTGTATTAAAAAGCCTTCATCTGCAGGGAACGTGTTTGCAATCTTTACACAGAGCAAAACAAAATGTTGTTTCCTGATTCTGCTTTTTTGGTTTTTGCTGTATTGGCTCTGATGACACATCGTTTCAGAATACAGACGTAGATGAGCACAACAAAAGCCGTAGAAAATTTCAAGTTTTCTGTACAGGTTTTGTGCATACGCCCATGCCACCCAGCAGGCTTCATTTTGTGCATGGAGAGTGCGCTGTAGTAATTCAGCTTATGTAGCCTTGTTCAAGTTACAAAAACTGTGGGAGTGAAAGTTTCAGGGGTGGGGAGTGAGGGGACAGAAGGGGGGAAAGGGGAGATAAGCCCTGAAATCACACTCATGATAGGATCTCTGATTCTCACGAAACATTAAGACTATTTGCTCCGTAATTTTGTTTCAGTGTGCGTCAGTCAATGCAAACTGTACTCTGCAGATAGAAAAGCCCTGTTAATACAAGGTCATGTTTATAACAAGGACAATTTTAGGTCCCAAGTTTTTGTTTGTCTTTGTTTGTCTTTGTTTTCCATAATACTGATAATCTGATGATACAAGGTAACTATTATAAAAGGATAATTTGTTAAATCAGCAAGGACCATGTTATAACAGTGTTCCACTGTCTCAGTTTGGTATCCCAATGAAAACAAACAGTTTGAACATTGTTTGGATGACATTGTCCAAGGTTGCTAATTAGCCTGTTAGAAGCATGGTGGAAACACTGGGAGGGTGCTATTTGGGTTGGGTCAAATCTTTTGTGTTAGCTCCAAATTTACCCTGTTCAAGTTGTGCCCTCCTATTGTGTCTGCCATGCGTCTGAAAGGCTAATTGGGAAGATTCTTTCAAGTCCTTGATGCTCAAAAGTGACTCTAACTTTGCAACTCAGTTTTGTTCGATTAGATTTACAATTAAATGCTTCAACTTGCCCTGAAGATCTATTGAACTGTATGGTGAGTTTGAACCCTCTATCTGCTCTGGAACAGAGCCAAGAATTGTTAGTTAACCCTAACCCACTAGGGCCTTTTTACGAGGGCACATCCTCAATCTTCCTCTTAAAAATCCTCCCTAACCACCCGGAGTGTTTTGGAAAGCTTTTTAAGAGGGAAATTGCAAAGGATGAAATTAATTTCCTGACCACCATAGCATTGATGTATTGTTTAGTTTGCAAAAATTGTAATTGAAGATTTCTTTGGTGTAGATGTAGTCATGCATTACAGTGCAATTTTTTTTCCCCTAACCGCACTGCCTCATTCGTTTTGGCTAGGATGCACCCTCAATCCTTCAAAATCTTCCAGTACTTCCTGTCATTATGTTGAGGCAATGCAAATGTTATTCTAGTGTAGTATGGTTAATTTCATGCAAAGTCTAGCCTTGCATTTATGGATGGCAGAGCGTAAACAACACAAGGTTTAACCCAAGACCTTGAAACAATCCCTCCTTTGCAGTCGGGCCACGCAGGTTTGCCACATATACATCCACAGCTGATCCTTCAAAATCTTCCAAAACAGTCCGAAGAATTTTGGAGGATTGAGGATAGTTCTTAGGGTCAATGACCACTCAAAAATTTTTCCGTGATATGGCCGATTTCCTCAGGAAACTGAAACAAAGGAGAGGATAGCTCAGACTTTCCTCCGTATGTGGCGAAACCGGCTGCAGGCCTGTGCATGTAAAACTGTGGCACATATAGCTGCCGGATCTAGCATTGTACTGATAAGTGATTACATGTACATGTAGGTCATCAACCAGTCAAGGTAGACAGTCTGATTAATGACCTTGGCTCACTGTGGCTGTACTTATTATTGCCACAGGCAAACACTGTGTACTTGAAAACATAGACAGTGGTAACTTTTCAGCGCCATTTCAACTTGATTGACTGTTTATCTGTTCTATCTGTTTAATCTGATGGTCTCTGTTGCTGATAGACAGTTCAAGGTTAGGGCACTTCCTCCAAATTTAAACAGCAAAATTATTCACTTATTTATCTATTTATTTAATGGTTTATTTAGCAAAATCTCTTGCAACCAAAGGCTGAATTTTAGTTTGATTTACAATTATTATATTAAAACTTTAAAAGTTACAAGGAACTATGTATAAAAAACAGAACAGTAAAAATACAGGTACATGTATACACATCAAATAAAAAGTTTGTATAAAATTGAATGATAAAAATACCAAAAGTTTATCAAACAATTGAATGCTCAAAATGACATACAGAACCAAAAAGAACACTAGATACATGTACATGCGTGCAAACCAACGTACCAACATACACATATGCAATGTGTACACACTCGCCCTCCCCCTTGCAATGCAAACCACCCCCAAACCTCCCAAAGCCAACCCTCACCATCACGAGCATCTTCTTCAGGACAACAATGTAATACAGCTGACATGATTTGGCTTATAGATTTGGCTTGTGCCTGTGCTTTCCACATTTTTACCAAAAGCAACTCTTTAAGCAGTCGTTTTCGAATGGTTCATCTCTTAATGCCTTTTTCATCTGTAGCGCAAACCCACTAGATGCGATTTGAATATCAGAAAGTCCAGCTGGATTAAGCATGGAGAGGGTTAAGGATGAATTCGAGGTTTGGAGCTGAGTCAGATTTTGTCGTTAAGGACATTTTCTAATTATTAGTTTCAGTTAAATGACGTTGTGAAGTTGGGCTTACCATGTTAGAAGATTCCTTGTACACACTGCGAATCCCTCCTAATGTTATTAATAGTTTGTGCTTATTACTATTTTTTTCCATCAGTCAGTTCTACGATGCCTTCAAGCACGGCAAGATGGATGAGGCCATCTCCCCGGTTTTCCTCTTCCTCTGGTTGCTAGGTGACGTGTCCAATCTGGTGGGCAGTTTACTCAGCAACCAGCTAGGAACACAGGTGGGGTCCCCAGTCCAGGTGTTGTCTTTCATTATCTTACCCGCATCAAGAAGATGCAACTGCGAGGGAAGTGACAGGTGTACTTACATGTATATATGCTATGTACCCATGTGTACCCATATTACCCCAATTGCTGCCCCCGGCGGGAGGCTGCATCCTGATAATGGATCCCTAGGGGGCCTTTGTTTTCTGTTTTGCTGCTGATATGACTGGCGTCACTACTAGTGAATAGGGCTAAAAAGTAAATAGAAGTTGCAAAAATTAAATTTGAGGTAGAACATTGGGAGAAAGCAGTACAGAATTCACTTTCTTCAAGGGGGCATGCTCCCATAGCCTCCAAGAAGGGACATCTTGGTACATAATTTCCAATAATTCCAATACTCACATAATTTCCAATTTTCGGGGCCTTCAATGTGCCAAAATGAGTGCTACATTTCACATGAATGGAACTCGAGAATCGAGCAATATTGAAAAGGAAAGTGCAGTGGGGCCTGTGCATTACACCTAGTATTGCCTCAAACAGGGGTGTGCCTCTTGTAAGTAGTCAGTGTCTGAGCCTGTGAATTGCCTTTTGTAGGAGTTTTGTCCTGAATAATGATATCTTTTTTGCAGATAGCGGTGGCTTATTACTACATTGGAATGGATTGCCTGGTGCTATTGCAGTTCACGTACTACTTCATTAAAAATCGGAGAAAGAGACGCATGTCAGGAGGTTGGTACAAAGCAAGCATTTGTGACCCACCATTCCAAAACCATGCTGAAGTAGGTAACTTCAGCATCCCTTAGATGGTGGAACACTCACTGTTCATATTTTCATGGAAGTTCCACAGCTGTCACTACCGGTGTGAAGCTTTCTGCAGACGGAATTTAGACCTGGCATGAATCACTTTGAAGTGTAAAAGAAGGTTGGGGAAATGAACTCTGGAACATCACATAGTCAGCATGGTTTTGAAATGGTGGATCACATATACTTTGTTAACCGCTAACAGTGTTGGAATTTGCAGTTAATTCAGAGAGTTTTGTTGCCAAAAACACTCAGGGAGTTGCCATTAATTTGGCTACTAACCTAGTTTTAACTTTCAGGGAAGCACTTTGTTCAGTGCTCGCGAGTCAGACAGATCATACAGGCGTGTTAAATTAACTTATGTAATTGCCCCTTGTAAGGTGTAAGCTGGCTGCTAAGTTGCTTTGTGATTATGACATTTGCAGGAGTACCGGACGATGGGCATGATCTTGTAAAACAAAACATTTTCATGAGCTACTGAAAAAAAAAGCAAGACTGCTGAAAAGACTGGTCATCTTTGGCAAGGATTTTAGGCATACGTGTAGCTTTTTGGCCACTCCGGCCATTACATAAAAGAACAGTTGACATTGTTTGAGGGTGGATGGTTTATTCTACCTCTCAGAAGTAACACAGGTTGGCATTTTCCTTGGAAAACTAGTTCGTCAACATATTTTAACATATTGAGCATGGTCATTGCTGGACCATCTTGAAATTCGCCGACAGACTGTCCTGCAAACCCAGTGTAAGGGTAGTCCTAATTTCCGGCCTCACAATTCTCCTGACCTCCCTCATTCTCCATTCTTGCTGACTGCACCACGATTTGTCATCAAAATGGACTACTACAGAGTTGTTTTATTCACCAACCCCCCCACACTACCGATACTGCATGGAGCTAACATCAACTATCCACCCGATACAAACCATGCTATACTTGTTTTACTACTCTGCCTACGTATTCATTTGTCACTGCAATTTCAGGCTTCAATTACAACAGTCCTCAACATTGTATTCGGCTACCTTTTTGTGTGGAGGCCATGTTTGATCTTATTCCTCAAATCTGTTTTATATATTGCAAATGGTCAATGAGAATGGCACCAGACTGTTTTATACGGTAATTCTGTGCATTCCAAGCTTCCTTTTCAGTAATATCCAGAATCTGGCAAGGTACCATTCTGTGTGTTCAATCACGAATTTGAAATTATTCATCAGAGTAGACAGTTCACATGAAATTTAATTTTAGTGCTTTCATTTGTACCCTAAACATTCAAAACTTAACCTCGCTTTTAAAATTCACTATGGCTGGCCCCATGAATAAAAGCCTATTTAGGATGATGTTTGCACATACATGTACTTTCCCCAGGCAACAGTTTCATAGTAGCTGCGTAGTAACTGCAGTAAACTGTCCGTATTACCTGTGTGTGGATACTTGAATGCCTGGTCCGTACATGTACATGTAGCTAACATCGCAACTGGCACTTGGTGATTGGAGCAGCAAGAATCGAGCTCCTAATCATGAATACATGTATGTATGGGGTATTATGGTAAGAATACTTGTCCCTGCCTTTCACTGATCGTTTGTTGCATTTCTAATCTGTCACATAGAGCTTCGTGTCAGTTACGACAGCATGGCCAAGCCCAACCGAAATCAGGTCATCTACTGTGTGGGTGGTCTCTTCTTGTTGGCCAGCACCACATGGTTCTCACTACTGCCATGGCGACAAGGGGCAGTGCATCCTGGGAGCCGGGCCACGGGCCGGATGTTACTGGGGCTGGAAAACGAGCCGTCCACCATATGCAAAGTTACCTTCCTGAACACGAGGGAATGCATGTTTTACGTAAGTATTGTGATCACCCTGCCTTCAGGCTCATAGGATCGGTGCATGAACTAGAGAGGGCAGCGTAACACTCGAGGCAAGTGGAGGGCACTTGCTTTGGGCTGGTTCACTACACACTGTTCTCTAGTTTAATTTGGAGAATAGAATATTCCACATGTCAACATCAAGAACAGACTGGGACTGGCTGGTTCCCCTTGGTAGATGGTGTTCATGCAGTGATGGTGGGAAGCCAGTCCTGCTTGCGTGAATACACGTACTTTCTACTTCGCAATTTCTGTGCCAGGTGCCAGTTTTATAGGTCATGTTTTTGGAATCGTGACCAGAAACACGTCTGTGCTCTTGTCATTTGCTGGTAGTTTTCATGACTTGGTTATGCCTGTTTGACATCATGGTGAACACACCCACAGCCCCTGAATTGGCTGAGCACGGAATATACACTGTATATACATACATGTACGTTGCAAGAGCAGGTAACCATCCAAAGTGCAGTGCAAAGTCTCTTTGTTAAGACTGGTACTTCACTCCAGTTTGCTCATCACAGAAATCTGCTGGTCATTAACTTCCTGGCCAAGCTGCTCAGAGACATAAAATGGGCCCCCAATTTGAGAAGCAGTCTGAACGAACTAGACAAGCTTCCTTTGCAGGAGTGCGGGTAATTCATAGTACTGATGGCCTCAAAGAGGATTGCCGTGGAAAGGTCATTTTCCCAAGTTTATGGCGGACAAAAACATGGGATTAATCCGTGAATATTTGTGACGTTCCTTGAGTCTCCAAAAAAAATCAAGAGTATTCTGCCTGCCTCACACAAAAGAACCACCATCTTGATGAGTTCAAACTGATACTCGAAGTACCCATCCTAATCTTCTCCCCAAGAAAATAGACAATCAAACATCGACCAATTCAAGGTCTGATGTACAGCCAGAGAATGAAATTCATCAATACTGTTACCCACATTAGGTTACGTAGACTAGCCCCTCTGTATGTCTCTTGGTGGCGCACTGTATTGTGAATTGCCTGTATTGAACGAAGGACCTCCTGATAAGGAACTTTATAGGCCATAAGACAAGTTGGGCCTAATTTTCTCGGATGTGACATCCTTTTTTTTTTTTCAGAGTGATACAGAGATAATCGGCTATGCATGTGGATGTGTATCGGCATTCTTCTACTTGGCATCCAGAGTCCCTCAACTTTACAAAAATGTGAGTTAGTTTTTACTCTTTTGTTGGTCAAAACTATCAAATCAAAGAGCAGACATTGGCAAAGCAGGGTATCACTGTAGACGCACATTTTCCTCAGAGGGGTTAAAATAAGTATACATATTTTTCATTTCCAGGACGTGATACTGTAATGCAAAAAGAGTGCTTGAGATCCCACTTTCTGTGTATAAAGAGTTAACGTGCAAAAGTAGATAAAAAAGCCAATTTTTGTCACAAAAATTGCCAATTTTCTTGAAATTGGGTGCTGAGCTCTTCTCAGTTTCACATCCTTGTACTTGATGTTCGTTGGGGACAACCCCACTTTTCCCCCCAGTTTGGTCGCACGATAAGTGGTTTTCCGTGCCTCAAGTATCGGAGTGTGCAACTTTAACCACTTCGCGCCGGTGGCAGTTGTCAATGTTGATGATGCTGGAGCGTGACAATTATCGTTTTTTTTTTGTTTTCAAAATTCTTTAAAAATTTGTATCTTCATTTACTGGACACTTACACCAACATGAAGGACTGTCTGGTTTCTACTCTAATCTGACAGACAACATCTATTGACGCTGGAGTATTTCAGCCAGGCCTGCTGCCTTTTAAAAAGAGCCCAGATTGTGCGGTGTTATGTAATTTTCTTTTGTTCACGAACCTGGTACAGTGCGCTGCTGACCTCTTTTCAACAGGGGCGGTGGTGGAGCGCTTTTGTGCCCGGTGGTAATCCACTCGTGCTAAATCCCCAAACCGTGGTATATGGTTTCAAAACAAGGCTGGATTACTTCCACTATTGAGAGTGAAAAAATGTTGGTAATGCCCAGCAGCCTGGTCTTTTGTACGGTCTTTTGTTAGAAGGCCCAGTTCCGTTTGTCTGATTTCAAACACCCCGGCCACGCATATAAAGAATACGTGTCCAGTACCAGAAACCCCGGCGGCAAGTAGTTCAGCAAGGGTCATAAAGGTTACACATCAGTGACCTTTGACCAGATTTCAACACTTTGAATACATGGATAAGTACAAAGGCACAATGAGCCCCAAGCTGCACCAAGAGGGGGCGCAATTTCCTTAGCAATGGAGGCTCTTTTGGTCTGAACTGAATTTCGCTGGCTCACGAACGACTACGAAATGCGTGCCTTGCAGTCGCATCGCTACCAGCAACCTGAACACTCCTGACCAATATGGCTCTTTTCAACCGAAGAAGGGGTGCCTCTGCTCAAGACAGATAACAATGAACCATTAGTGGGTCTGTCGCAAACCTGTACCATGGAGTCTGAATAATTCTCAACTGTACTGCTTTTCATTTAATGTCCAGTACAAGCGAAAGTCGGTGGAGGGCGTGGCTATCATGATGTTCATCCTGACGGTTCTCGGCAACGTTTTCTACGGCCTGTCCATCCTCTTGGAGGACACGTCAGTCGTTTTCATCCTGAGACACCTCCCCTGGCTCGTCGGTAGCCTGGGCACGCTCTGCTTCGACTGCGTCGTATCCTTTACATGGCATTGGGTGCCAAAATTCACGTTAAAAGTACAAGTTTGAGTTTATAAGGACAGCATCCGTAGAAAGAAAAATACAGAGCATTCCGTGCATGTGCGAGTATATTGGTTCCAAATTCTGCATTGCCACAGGCATGACAGGGCTGGGGGACCCTGCAATTTAGAATGTTACACACAACAGAATGAGATACCTGCCTGGAAAATTTATTCCAAAATGTCAAGACAAAGATGGCACTCCCTACCAGTTCATCAATTTAATTGAATTTATTAGTGATGACAATTTTACTGAAATGAAATGCATTGTAACACAGTAAAACGTATTTCTTTTCGTTCTCTTGCATTTGTAAAATCTATTACCGTGGTGTAACAAAACAATTGTTGCCTGTTTTGACGATGTCCATGGCGTTTTGTACATTTTAACCCCTTTAGGTGTACAAAACCCATGGACCCCCATACAGCAAGCAACAATTGTATAATATTATGGTAAGAAATATTGTACAATTATGGCACAGTGAGTCTCAAGATTCACTATATGTGTGCCAACCTTACCTACTTAGTGCGGACTCAAGACCACAAGAGGTCCACATTATGCAGGTTGGGCAAACCTTGTGTGGACTAATCCAAGTCCATGCAATGATTTATCCCCTTCCCTGGAAACCAGTTTTAGAGTCGTTTTGGGTTTAAGCAAAATGAATAGAAACCGTCGATAAAACCATCATCTTAAAAGAGTGTTTGCCCTTAACAAGTGGAAAAATCATCACGTGTTTTCACCTACCCAAAAAGAAAAAAATTGGGTATTTAACAGAAATGTGTGGTTTGGCTGTATAAAACCAGTTTAACTCGCCTTTTCATGAGACTTGGAGTCTTACCCAAATATAGCACCTTCGGCCAAAGATCAAGTAGATTGCATCATTGCGCTTCGTGGAAACAAGGACACGTTTTTTCCCTTGACTCCATCTATCACAGATGCTGCTGCAGTTCCGTCTCTATGGAAGGCGCCCATCAGGGTATGTTGGACTCAACGAGGATGAGTCGAGAGGCCTTCTGACTCCCAAGGTACGATCCGACGATGAGGGCTTCTACAGACCAGCCTTGGAAGTAGACACTTAGGCTCAAATAATTGTTGAAAAATCTGTTAGGGCATTTAATGCTAAGGTGTGGTTTGGACTGATGGCAGTCTTGATTGGTCGGGCTTACTTCGGCCTGTACTGGGTTTCTTGCCAGAGTTATGTTGTTGGAATATTTGCATTGTGAATACCAAAATGCACTCCACCTTGACACAAGAAATTTGGGCATGGCATTGATGTGCTGTCATGTGTATGTATGTGTGTGCCAAATCAACCAAAGGGATCAAGTTTGAATTAAGAAATTTGAAATATTTGAATGTCAGTTGGTAAGAAATTTGAAATATTTGAATGTCAATAGGTAAGAAATTTGAAATATTTGAAGTCAGGGTACGGTAAGGAATAGCGACATTAATATCAGCAGCATTTGGCAGAGGAAGTGGGGAGTTTTATGATGCTCCCCCCCCCAAGTGGCGGGGTCATCCTGAAAGCCCTCATCCCTTTGGAACCACATCAGCAAATAGTCCTGAGAAACCCTCACCAAATGACTACAGGTACAGTATATAGGCCGGTGCACTGACGATGTCACACTTCCTTTACACATGCACTTTCCTGTGGAGCCAGACGGGGCCCACTGCCGGACCACTGAGCACCGTAGGAAGGCACGCTCATAATAAGTGTGGCATTGTCAGTACAGAGGTCTGGTGGGGAGGCGATAGTCATGTTTGGGATCGGTCAACATCACCTCAGAATTTCTCCCGGTGGCCGTACCTGGTGAGACTCGGTGTAGAAAGAGCCGACTTTGTGACATCTACTTCCGTCTTTGTAGTCGTATCATTACTGCCCCCAGGTGCCGTCAGATTTCCTGTCTCCAATTATTTTTCTTTGGGGGCAATTGGACAGTATCCGAGCAAAACTGAAATCACCGTACATTGTTTTTGGCATCTCCTTTTTTTAATACTGAGCTAATGTATCCATAATTTCTGCATCTGCATCTTATCCTAAATGACAACAATATTTTTGTGCGATGGTTTTCCAGAAAGTTGTTTATTTTTTAACAATTTGTTTGCATTGAAAAGGTTTTGTGAACAGTAAATTATTTCTCGGGAAATTTTAAAAAAACGAACATTACATCTTTGAAAAAGTACAACAGTGTAGTTATGCATTTCAAAAATTCTAATGGCTCTAACGGCCAGGTTTTAGTTTTGTGTCTGTAGGCCACTTCAAAGGTTTCTTTCCTTCTTTCTTAGTTTCAGGGTAAAATATATTTTTAGCTTGAGTAGTTTTTGTGGTTGTTTTAAGAATGGGTTACGGTTTTTCTGTAGTGTTTACACGCTGTTTTTTCTCTTTGGAAATTTGATGTATAATCAGAGGGTTTTGTGACATTTTATGAAGCTTTATTTGCCTGTAACATACAGTGTATGTGCAAGTGTGTGACTTTTAGAAAATGGCGGAATAGGAAAATGTGCATTTTATTACAGAAATTAATGCGTTGCATTTTTTACCCATTTTTGTTTCAGCATTTTAGGTTTTAGTTTTTTTTATTTAATGTTCTGAGAATCCAGTGGACGTGTGTCAATCAAACAATTTTGTCATGTCTATAAAGGCTTCCCACTGAATTTATGTAGAAAGCTCATGTGCATTCCGAGCCATTCACAACTGTTCACGCCTCACCCAAGTGAAGTGGACATTTGGTGGGCATTCAGGCCGTGACAAATTTTGTTGGAGCTTGCTCAATTTGGCAGGCCATGCCATAAAATTGCTTGCCCGAATTAGATCAACACTTGCCCAAGATTTCTCGGAATCCACGATTATTATGGTTATTTAATTTAGGCCTACTGCATGCATGCAGTCTTTTATTAGGCCCCCAAAATAGTTGTGCTTCCAATTACATGCCTCTTAAAAATAGGGTCAGTAGGTTGAAAAGTTTTTGTTTTTTTGGTCAATTTGTTTGTCCTGATTGAACGGCATGAACGGGGCAACAGCTTCCAAAATTATCTCAAAAAAGTGATGAACACCTGTCTTAATCTATGTAAAAATTTCTACAGGCGACAATTCACAAGAATTATGGGCAATTCACACAGTGTGACTCAGGCAATCACGGCGGCAAACTGGCCAACAATGTATCGCGTGGTAAGCGTGCGTGAGGCATCCAGACCAGTGGGTGAAAAACCTTGTGCCGAGGCAGGAAATTTGTTGAAAAATGCTCGCTTCAAGTACGAGCAAAACAAACTCAAATTAAACTCCTGAACACAGAAAATACATAAATATGAGACCAAGTTCTGCGAGTTCTGGGAAGGAATTTACAGAAAACCTCTCGCAACATCGTTATTTTTTGACCTGTGGCTTTAGATTAATCAACCGGAATGTACATGTATAGACTGGTTCTGGTTGCTACATTTCTTTGCATGGGTGCGGTGCGGTGGGAACCAGAGCAGCTTCGTTTAATGCATTGAGCTGTGGGCACGTGTTTTCCCCACTGCGACAGCAAAATGTGAATGAGAACTCATGAAAATAACGGAAGTTCCTCTCCAAAAATTGCAAATGTTAGTGGGAAAACATACAAAAACAAGCATTTTAACGTGACAAAAAGTTTTTGAAAGATATTTTGTGAAGACAGAAAAGACATCAGCTTTTCTGGACGTGCCCGAACGGGCACACCTAGTTAGAATTTTAATTGCCCGAATGAAAATTTGATTGTCCCTGGCTATCGGACAGGCGATTCGTGGGCATTGCTAGTCACAGTGGAAAACTCACTTTGATTGGCTAAGATGCGATATGGCTTCAAGAGTGGACACTTATTTTTTGGTCTCGGCTTTTGACTACCTATTCATGCATTCAAGTATAAATACTACGGATTTAATCCCCTGGTGACTATTTTAATTTAATACTGTATGTTAAAAAATGTTAGCAAAATGGCTGTCATACGCAGTGCATGGAAAAAGAGGCCACTTGTCCATGTGGGCGTTAATATAAATGTACAAACTGCCAAGGTTGGACATAACAGTAGTCAACATATACAGTAGTGATATGAGTATTGCTATTGTGGAAACAAATTGGTGGTTAATTCACGCCAGTGTACTCTGCAAACTGCCATTTTTGTCCCAAAGTGTGAAGTTGGCACTACTGATGAAACGGGTGACACCCCCCAAGAGGGCATTGTGCCCAAGATTAAGGCAAGGGTGTTACGGATCCTTTAGAGAGAATAAACGGACATTTCCGATGTGTTGGGTTTTTTGTGGAGCAACTGTCACAGAACAGTGGCTCCCCTCAGCAGTCATTTCAGTTCTTACTGCCATTGGTGGGGGCCACTGCAAAATAGCCGGTGATGGCGCTACCATGGTTGCCGTATTCATCTGTGCAGGAAATGCATATAACGCATCACAGCTGTCAGTGGGTGTGCTCTTAGTGTAATGCCAGCATATCAGAATAAGAATAAAAGATAAGAATATCCCATGAGACATTTTAAATAAAACTTGATTTTCGTGAGTTTTCAAGACATGGAGATTAAGAAGGATACATAACTTTGTTACAGGGCACGGATGTGCCCTGCACAGGCTACACATACATATCCAACACACTGTGCTCAAGACAATAACTTGGGATGTGGTACTTAGTTCATATGAAGTTCTGTTTTGTGGGATGACAGTAAAGTTGGTTTAGTATCAGACATTCACATAAATTTTGACAGTAAATATCACATTTTGGGGGAATATTGGACGACTGACCAATACCACGTTGCACCTGGCAGCGGAAGCTGCAAATAGACCTGATGGTTTCCGGCACACCAGCTGTGGTAACCTGCATCTAATAAAATTGGCTGAGTGAAGGTCTGATTCCCCCCCCCCCCCGCAAAAATATGAGATGTTAACTGTAGAAACCTCCACAAATGTCCAAGTCCCATATCAAACTTTACTGTCATTTCGGAGCAACGCAGTGTGTTTTATGTAAGCTACTTCATATCTAACTCTACTCGGCGAGTCAGAAGGGACAGTATTACAAATATACACAAAACATTCCTTTTCTGGTTTTGTTGTCAGTGAACGGTCCAGTCTTTCTTTGCTTTGGGTTTCCCTTTGTGAGTTTGTACGTTCATTAGGCAGTGTTTTGTTTCTCACTTCACGGGATATATATGTGACCGCTTGAGTTTTTAGGTGCAATTTTGATGATGTCGTTGGGGAAGCACGAAGGTCACAACGAATTATTTTGGTTGTCTGGGTATTTCCACTTTGCTTTTCTTTTTAATAGAACTTTTACTCTGTCATTTGGCACCATTTGTTTTTTGTTTGTGTTGGTTTTTTTTTTAAGACTGACGACTCGGAATTTTATTTGTATTGAATGCCCATGCCATTAATTTACAAATAAAAAGCCTGGAGTTGACGAGTGTAACGTCAGGGAGTTTACGTCAAGTCTTGGCTACAACAAATTCTGATTTGACTGAAGACGCCGTTTTGAACCTGTTGAAATTTCACAAGAATTAATACACTGCGATTTGTTTGTCCAAAAACAGTATGGCTATCTGTAGATCATGCATTTCAAATGAATATTGAACTCAAAATTTGCTTTATAAACTTTGGATTTTTTTGAGTCTCATGAGTTTGTCCTGTCGTGTATGTGACGACAGCACTGGGCGTACTACTCCCAACAGCTCATTATGCTTTAACATAGAAAAAAAAAATATGTTTTCTGAGTTGCCGGTTGTAATCACGGAAGTAGAGGCCAAGCGACTCTGAGTTCAAGAATATTTGATTTGGCTACTTCAGTTTCCCCTTACTATGTTACCGAGGGATGTCGGACAACTCGACCGTTTGCCAACTCTACTTCGGACAACTCAATCGTTGAGACAACTTGACCATTTGCCAAGTCGTCCATTAGGACAACTCGACTTTGACAGACAACTCGACCAGTGAGATCTCTTCACATAATACAGTCATCACGTTTTTCCCAGTTCAAGATCGGGAAATTATTCTGTCAGATTGCAGCTCTATAAAAATCCTCAAATTCCAGTGAAATGTGGTCACCGTCCACCTTGTGTGATAGAGATACCACGATTACCACCAAATCAGTTGAAATTTTTAAACTTTTAATTCGGGCGTACAGGATCAACGAAAGTGGTGACACTTTTTCTTGTTCTGGATCGGTCTCCGGAAAGTAACTACATGAGCGGTAAATCTATTTTCAGCCAGAATCATTGTAAAACCTTATCTTCTAATGAAAAAATTCTCAATTTAGAAAAATTTGCTTCATACATAAGACTTCCAATGAATATAACAAAAAATTGGATTTTGTGTAAATTTCGACTTAAATTTTTCAGCGGCACAGCGTGAGCCATCAACGATATACTTCATGCTGTACAGCTGACAAACCCATTATGAACGTATATTTCTGCAACGTCCGTATAGCGAGATGAGTTTGCAAAGTATATTGCATGCATGTACTTAAGGCCAAAAAACGTCGGTCTCTGGTCTGACCAAAGTTCCGGATGGAGTTGGCTTTTTAAGACTGGCATTTCATGGAAATGAGTGGCATATTTAGTCCAATAGCAACGGCTAGTAGCAGCATGTCGCACGTCATGCCAATTCCCAAGCTATTTTAAATGAGCTGTGACAAAACATTCTTTTGTCATTGTTCACCCTGTTATTTATGACTGGCCTTGTGAAGGGACTTGTGACTGGACTGGTGATGGAATCAAATACAGCACTGGGAAAAGGTGGGTTTTTAAAGAAAAATAATATTTGTACGTTGCTAATTTCATTTCCATGATTTAATTTTTTCATTCGCATGAATTACAAAGTCAACACAAACGCAAATTTGTGACGTTGCGTGCCTTCAAAGTCTCTCAATATTCTGGCGTACATGAAATTGCCAACAGAAATACATTCGAAAATGCACCTAAATGCCTCCCTGGACATTGTACGCTTCCTGAAACTACTTTGCCTGTCATGTTACATCACTTGAAAAACGTCTATAAAGTGGGCGTCACAAATTTGCGTTTGTGGTCACAGTAGGGGAGATGATTTCTGAATGGCCATCCTTGTGCGGAGGCTATGAATGCACGCGCATAATGTCAGTGACTTGAAAAGTGGGTGGAGTCAAAAAGTGGGGGGATTACCCCCGCCCGGGATCTCCACCTAGGGAATGTGGCACATTAAGTGTTACTTCTTGAGATTAATGCAGACTTTCCTGGGCCACAAAAGATGCCAAATTGTCCATGGAATTGAAGGTTGCATCCTTAGGGTGGGAGGTTCTGCTTCATACATCCATTGCGCTAGACTGGCAAACCTCTAGTGGAAGAGTGGGCGTTAGCCCTGGTATTTCTGGCCAGCTTGATGTACCATTGCCCTTTATACAACCCAAATAACAGCCACAACTGACGGGAAGTATATCAGCCTGTTCCTTCTTCTGACGGCAGACGGTGACCTTGTCTCTTCAGTGTCTCCTGCAAGATTGGACGGGGCTGAAGTTGATCAAGGAGTCTCAGAATGTTCTTGGCATATTCACCTCTGTGGGGGTTGATCTCGCCGAAGAACTGCAAAGAATAGAACAGGACAATTAGTGGAATTGTGTAGACAAAAAATCACAAAACTCTGAGGACAAAAGGATTTTCTGACAATTCTAAAAACTGTGTTTTAAAAGTACAGGCAATGAAAATTGCCTCCCCAAACACCAAAGTAAATTTGGAAAGATATGGATTCCAATAAGGTTTCTCTGCATGTACCGGTTATCTGAAAGCAATCATATGACCAGAAAGGTCAAATTTAGCAGGGAAAATACTAAGGTATTCACGTAGAAAACAGAATGTAACAGACAAGTCTCGTAGGGTATATTTACAGGGTATCAAGTGAAGTCCGTAGATGGAACTCATTCTGTAAATTTGAGGGGGTGACATCAGTATTGCACACTGCACACTTTTTGGATAAAATTTTGACATGGAGTAATGTTGGCATCCATGTCGAAATCTTACCGAGGATCAAAGAGTTTAAGTGTGATGAAGGGTGCAGGCTGAAAAAATGTGAATCACATTTGCAGAAACCATACTTGTAATTTTCTTCTGGCATCTTTCCAAGAGACGCCTCTTTGATGTGTGAGGACACTCACCTTGTGAGCTGGAAAGCATTCATGTGGTGCTCGCCGGCTTGATGGGCAGTGGACATCGTTCAGCGTCACCCACACTGCGTCGGGTTCCAGATCTGCAAATGCTCCGAAGCTCTCCTTGGCGGCCGCCTGGAGTACGCCTGGCTGCCTGGCGCTCAGGTACGGCAAGCAGGCGGTGGCCATCTTGGCTAGCTCCCCACCTCCCACGCCTGCTTTGCTGCAGATGGGGCCGGCGCAGTGGAGTACGGCCAGCTGCAGTTTGCAGGCCGAGGTGTGCAGGTAGGCAGGCCCTGCTTTCTCGCTGATGCAGAAAGAAAACAAAGCAAAACTAAACACACTCCAAAGATCTGTTGTCACCTGGGAAGGACTTATCAACTTTGACATGCGAAAGTTGACAAGACGGCCGGAGGGACAACTGAGCCCAACTTTCTGCCACTGCATAATCCCCGGCAGAAAAATCGTACATTCATCTCCTAACAATGAAAATGCACACATTAGCATTACCAACCTAACAGTGACCATTCCTCTGTTCTTGTGCAGTTTAAGAAAACTCGATTTCACTGGGACCAGTATGAGCATTTTAAGCCGGAGTGTTCCTGATCCTAGCCCTAACACCCAAATGCCTACTAAAACTATTTTCCAGAAGGAGGTAACCTTATGTGGACCTGGAATCAGTCCACACGGGGTCACACAACCAGGACCTCCTGTGATCACAGGGCCGTGCTAGGCGTGTAAGGTTGGGACCACCCATAGTGGCACCAGAGCTGTGGGGACTACAGGTGTGTGACTGAATACACATGTAGTTCTTGTACACCCAAAATTCTTTGTGGAGACAAAATTTTTCTGATGAAAGAATCGGTCACTTCAGCGTGAGGCCAGTCTGGGTTTGTGTGCACGCACGGAGATCAAGCTGTTCAAGCTGCTTGCAGTCCCTGTAAAATTCACAATGAATTTGTTTCAAGTAAACAGTTCTCTTGGCAGTAATAGGTAAGATCAGCCCTCATCAACCACTATATGTTAGGATGTGTGAACAGTTTTCAGAAACAGTGCTGTATTCAAGTCCATCACAAGTCCCTGTGAGTCCCTGTATAGTTCATCACAAGTCATTCCGTCTTAAGCCAATTCACAAGCTGTTCAAATGAACTGTGACAAAAGCATTCCTTTGTCACTGTTCACCCGCACAGTGGTAGTTTAATAACTAAGTAAAATAGTAAACTTGTGGAGATGAGACGGCATTGAATTTGTAGACGCCTCGTGTGTATTTAATGTGGAGGTTCAAAAGAGAAGGCTGACAGATGGCAAGCTGTGAATAAAACAGGGTCACATCAAGCCCGGTTGCTGCTGCACGCGGTCGTACCAGAAACGGTTTGGTTGCATTGATTCATTGAGCAGAATGGTGTTGAAGTGATAAACCACGAGTTCAGTGGCTTGAACTCAGGTTTTTGGCCAGGCCAGGCAGGCTGTACCAGGACTTCTAAGCATCTCTCTCAGCCACTGTGATCTCCCTATGAGGATTTTGTTAACCGGTTCAGGGTGCCAAACCCCAGAGGTGAGCATAACACAACTGCTTGAAAAGCGCCTGTAGTTTTCGCAACTTTCGCGAAGTTAACAAGTGTGGCAGTTAGTTTTGCAAATTTAGGAAACCACACTTGCCAGTTTCAAGTGCTGAAATTGTTGCTCAAGTGCCTAAGTTTGTGCAAATGTGGAGCTTGAAGCCCCATAATTCCAAGGGTAGTCATCTGTGTGGGCCCCCGTTTACAGTAGTGATCACCAGATACCTACGTGAAGGTTGGACCAGCCACCTGCAGTGTTGTATACTGTAATTGATTGACACCTTCCCTGGCACCGAAGCGGGCCAGAAATTTAAAAAAAAGTCATTTGCCTCATGTATTCCCGATGAAACCACACCAAATTTTTTTTTCTGGAAAGGGGTGTACAAATTCAAAATTCAACTAACGCTTACCTTATTTTGGCTTGGGCTTCCAGGATGGACACCAGTTTGGGCCACACATCCTTAATGACTCTCTTCTGTATGAAATCTCCAGCGGTGTCCGCCATGGTGTGCAGTGTTTCACATGCCCTGCAGGTTACCAGCTGCTCGGTATCCTGGAAGCGTTGGACGAAGGCCGGCCACAGGCGGTGGATAAGGGGCAGAAGCTCGTCTGAAAGGGAGAACGACATCACATGGTTCTACAAAACATGCAGAAGAATGAAACGGAAGCCTTGAGATAAGGGCAGCTGAATCCTGTGATCACTGTGATGCCGGATCGGGTCAACGTACCCAGGGATGTGTCGTGACACGCAGGGCATTTAAGTACTTTCTGGCAAATTCCGTACATGGTTGTGCAAGAAGTTTCCACTATTTTCTGTTTACCTTGGTGGTTTCGCAATGCAAGGATGCCATGTTTTACTGTCTCAAGAACCTTCAGGCGTAGTCTTGGGTCACTGGATGACAAGAAATGAAGACATCTCTCCAGGACCTTCAGAATGGAAATGTAAATAACAATCACTGTGGATTTGGAAAAACAAAACAATGCAGACTGATAGGGTGCCCAGCTGAACATCTAAAATTATTTGTCATCCAAAGCTGGTTTATTATCAAGCCGGCCCATTGGGTTGATAATATCTGATTACTCCCGAAAACCCTCAGCATAGGGCTCGATGTTGCCTTTTCAGAGGAAAATATTGCTGTATGCACCCTGAGGGGTACCCATTTAGAGGCCTACTCCTGGGTGGAGAGAGGCAAGTGGGAGTAGAGTGACTTGCCAAAGATCACACCATGTAACAAACTCTTGCACTCAAACTGCTGACACTACTGTACGGGACTGCTAACCCCAACCAACAGGCCACACATCCTTGTCCAAATGTAAAACTTCTCTGGACTTGTGTTTTCAAACCAAGGAAATCAAACGGTTAGTATATTTCTTGTAGGAAATTTGATGTTTTGACAATCCAGTCTGGTTCCTGAGATATGGAAATACCCTTCCTTTTTTTGGCCATGCTTGAAACAACTTATGAGATTGATCTTTTTGCAACAGAATTTGCATTCTTTTTTTCAAATAGGAAAAGAGCACCCTCTATTGTTAAGGCAAGCTTCCATTAATTTTTGGAAATATGACCCCCCCCAAAAAAAATCCACACCTCCTTGACTGTCTTGATGTGCATGGGCAATGCCTTCTCCTTGTCAACCTCGTCCCCACCATCCATCTCCTCCCCGCTCGCCTGACTCGGATGCATCCCGGGATCGTCATCTATATCCTCCTCTCGCACGTCGCCCTCGGCGATGCGCTTCAGACGCAGGTGCTCCAGGAAGAAGTCGCCAATGGATTGGAGGGTGATGGGAAGATCGTCTGCGAGTTCGCGGTCCTGGCCGGCAGGATCTTTGTCGAGCAAGGGCTGCGAATCTTCTTCCGATGGCTCTGTTTTCTGTACAAGAAAAAAAATAGGGGCGGGGGGAATGTAGTGACCACACAGTATCACAATCAATCAATAGCAGAAACACGGTTAAATAGTACAAGTTACAGTACAAAATGTTGTGTCTGCTGGTTTCATGTTTTGGGGCTTAACGCTTAAGGAGCCCGGTTATTTTGGCCCATCTCACAGCCCCCCTGAGAACTAGGCCGTGCCGTGTTCAAACCTTGATATGTTTGATACTTGACTTACTTGTAGAGACACTCCTTATCATTACAACTGTCTAGTTTGAATTTAATCAGACATACGGCTTTGTTGTTACAGTCATTTGAAATTAAAGGCTATATGCGTTCCAGCTCACATGCATTGAGCAGGGGAGTGAAAAAGTGTACATTTTTGGCTGACCTGTCTACGAAAGAAATGGGAGCTGCAGAAGGAAGGAGTGTTCCATTTTTAAAAACTGGTTACGACTTGACCGCAAAAAGTTACTCTAAAAATTTATGACAAAAATCACTGCGGTAGTTGAAAATATATCTAGGCCTCTGCCCCCTGGCTCTTTTAGGGTTTACTCATGACGATTTGTTCATCTGAGCTAACTCTTGGTTATGACAGCCAAACTCACTAATGCCACGAGTGGTAATGCCAGATCCATCCACGTTGTGCCCAGATTCTGGAACCCCCTTGTACCACAACCCTTTCAATCTGTCGCCTAACCTTGTCATCACAGGGGTACCACCTGTAGATGGCCATGACGAGCGTCTTCAAGACGTCCATCACCGTGGCGGCAACTTCTTTGTGGTACTGGTCCAACGTTAGGAGGATCTGGACAAGACAGAAGACGGAATCGTTCAGACAATGAGTACAATGATGATAACGGAGAGCGCAAGGAGTCCACCAGGACTGGTGTTCAAGGCACTACTCACTATTACCCCTGCTCACTGGGCGCACAAAACAATCACAAATACCATCTCAGCAGCAATATTGCAACAAGATGCAAAGCGCGCACTGATCCCAACCGCAGCGGTACAGGGGACCCATCGTCTCATCAAAAGGGTCCAATACCGATGACTGTACAGAAGTAAGATCCAATGACCTACGCGCAACCAATCCCAATGACTGCGTCTTCGGTACTTCCCCACAAAAAGAGACTTCATTTCCGTTCATTAGCAAACAGAAAGAAGCTGTTATTCTTCTTTTTGATACCTGTCTGTTTGAAAATCTAATTATTTCGGTGGCCCCCTACCATAGAATTAGGCACAATCTTGTTGGTTTTCAGCATGGTTAGGGTTCAAGTTTCTATTGATTTCTTTAACCATGAAATGCATTGTCCGACTGGGCTAAGAGTCCATACTCATACAGAGTGAGTAACAAACCAGACACCTTTTATAAATGAAGTGTCTGTGTAGTTTCTTCTCTTTCCTATAAAAAAGAAAGACCTAGACAGAGCACCAGTATATTTTAACTTTTTCACTGTTGTTTTGCTATTTTAAAAAGGCATTTTGAAGCCTTCTCAGTTTTCATGTCAATGTAGTTTCCATATTCATAGCAAAACCGTGATGTCATTCCAGGAAGAAACTTCAGTGTTGTTCGGACTTGTGTAGAAACAAACTGCTAGAATTTGTCCTAGATTTCGTTTTCTTTGGTGATTCATTGTTGAGTAACCAACCATTTTTCAGAGCTGTGGAAATGCTGAGTTCACCATCAGAACAGAAAAAACCTACAAACTACACAATGTTTTCCCTGAGTGACAACTTAGCAGCAGCGCCATAATTAACAATGTCATGGAGAGCCAGCAAGGCCTCTTACGATTTTTTAGACTTAGTACAGCAAAGGTACAAACACAGTCAAGTCAGAAAGCAGAGTAACTGCCTTCAATGAGAAGGTTTATGGTGGTGGGAAAAATGAATTTACCTCGTCTATGGTGTCCTGAAGAAGAGGCAACATTTCAGCATTACTAACAAAAATGAAAGACATCAATTAATTAATCAATCAATTAAGAAAACTTTATGAAATGGACAAAATGCAATTGACATTGTCAGCTCCTTGCGTCTAGGAAAACCAAACATGTATTAAGTGCATTTAAAGCTTCCTGAATTCTCTGTGTTTTTAGAAGAACCCATTGGTGATTATGAACACAGAAGAGGACGGAACCTGTATTTTTGGAACATGCCTGCCATTGTCCCATAGAGTACAAATCGTAACATCATTTGTTGTAACATAAACAAATGGACTACTTTGTTCAAATGCTGGTTCTCATGCTGACGCCTTGTTTATTTATACATGTATATTAATTTACTTCTTCTTTACCCTGGGGAGACCTATCAGTATCAAAGCACTGTTTTCCATAGGTGCCCGGAAATTACAATGATTAACAATTTATTAATATTAATTTAGAATTACTCACCAAAAAAATTATTAAATAAAATCAAAGTCCAATAATGCACAACACTAAAAACAAAACATATGAGGAATAAATATAATTAAAACAAATTTAAGGAGATAATGAGAAGTTAGCACAGGAAACTAACAAAACATCAAAACCAAACTTTAAAAACAGCCAAAACGAGGCTTATGAATTACATGTAATGCATATTCCAAAATGAGTATTTAAAACTCACTACTGGTGCTTCGGTACTCTCACTTTTGACTGATATGTACCTGTGTCGGAGGGTGACTTGTAGAACAAGAGGGGCCTTTGGGTTCATCTCTAGGTGCCTCAGGCTGGACGAGATGGCGTCCACTAGGTAATCGGCATTGGAGCTCAGGAGAGCTGGGATGGTCTGGTATCCACAGGCTATGCAAATCTGTACCACAGTGCTGTAAGCTGTTTGGCTGATCGGGAGTAGAAAGCACCAGATTACAACCGTGTGTTCTCGAGTAACATTCTTGTGACCCGACATTTAGAAGTTGTTGAAGATCTATGGCAATGAGCCAGTTCGGTTTTGAGCAAAGTCATTTGGGAACAAAGCACATGCACGTGTCTGCGTACCACTGCGCTCATATGGTAGGCCTCGCTGATGAGTCCGCATGACGCGCTTCATTTGGACAAGCGCTGTTGGAATACTGAACTGCTTCAGTGTTTGACAGCACTCTTGAGCAATGAAAAGGAAGACCATTTCTGAGGGGCAATTTTTTGGGGTGCACGGGGATAAACAGAATTTTTGTTTTTGCTGGGGATGGTTTCAGATTGTGGCTGTCCGGCTTTATTCCCAACAAATTTGGCGCTAGACTTGTTTTTTGAGGACACTATTTTTCTTCAGCAGTAAGCATTATGGTGTGCTCTAGGAGCCCTAGAGGCCTCGCTCGACCTGGAAATCCCAAGTCCCAAGTCTCCAGCCACTCACAGAACTGTTAGAACATCCACTAAAAAGGACTGCTTTCGGTCATTTAGTCACCACGATCTTTTCAGAATGGCCTTACAAACATTTGTTGTTGTTGGTATTAACAGCATTCCAATTTACCTGATGACAGCCTTCTCATCTGCAAGTTTCTCGAGGACAGGGTAGAGGCAGTCCATGAGAAGCAGACTGAATGCCGGTCCTAAAACCTAGCAGAAATGAGATGCTGAATTTAAAAGCCACAATGCCATTATGACGTCAGATATTGCCATTTTAATCCTTGATTTGGAAGTGGCAATGGCTGTCCAATTTACTGCCATGAAATGGGCCTGAAGCAAGACAAGACACGGAAGGCAGACGGAGCGCTTCACTCTCAGAAGTTGAGGGCATCTCCAGGGCCAAATACTAAATGGGAATATTTGTTCTCTAGTGTCAAAGATTTATGCAAAATATCAAGTTTGTCAATTTTGAACCAGCAAAAACTACCCGTCCTAAACCATTTTTGCCTAAGGACAGGTGAACAGGTGGGTAGATGAGACACTGGCATCCTCCCCAAAATAACTCCTCAATCCTTCAGTTGTCCTGTGTAAATGGAAGACTTCCTAAGGATGTAAAACTAACGTTGGACCTTGTAAGAAATTTAAAATTATGGTGGAACAAAAATGTTGAGATGTCCTGAAAGTAAAGATAGCCCTAACATCATACTTGTTATTACTTCTTTCCATATAATTAAATAAGAGAAAATTTGATTGAGAAATTCTTCAAAATTCAAATGAATATACCTGGGCAAATGCCCCAATCCCCTCCAACAGCAGGCTAATCAGCAACACATTGCTGTTCAGCATGGCCAATGAAACATTGCCTCTCTCCTGTTGAGAGACAACCAGCCAATTGGATGTGTCCTTAGGAGCTGAGATGGCCTCTGATTGGCTAGGGCAGGTGGGGAGATTCCAGTGCATGGGAGATAGGTACTCTTGCAGCAAAGTTCTTGAAGAGAGACATCATATTGAAATAAGCTGGTTGAATAAAAGCTGATCTAAATTTGTATGTCACTCATCAGCCAGAAATTGTTAAGTTATTCTTGAAAAACCTCCTTGAACATCAATAAGAAACAAAAATCACCCTTACCGAACTGCACTCTCAATTTCAGTTGTATCCCTCAAGGCAGGACTGGCTGATCCTTCCCACGATGTCTTGTTACTGTCATCCAGTGGTGTCACCCTGGTACCCAGCATGATCTCATTCAGGACTAGGACCGCCTGTTTCCGGTGTGATGACGACTCATGGAAGAGACCCAGGAAGTGGTCCACAAGAAGGGTAATGTTTCCTGGGGGAAGAAATTATCACAATGACAGTCAATAAATGGGTGATCATAACACAATATCAATACTGGTGATTCACAAGCATTTGAAAATGTTTATACAATGTTCCCTCCCCCCCCAAAAAAAAGTGCGAGCAAGTACTGTCCATTTTCAAAATGGGCAGTGCTTATAACTAAAAGGGTTTTAACCACTTCCTGCCGGGCCATTTATCCATGTTGATTCTGCTGGGCTGGGTGATTTTTTCATTTTTTTCTGCTTTCAACATGCTTTAAAAAATTCATAACTTCATTTAAAAATAACTCTCTGGTGGCTATAATCTGACAGACGTCTACCGACACCCGAGTATTTCAGCAAGGCCTGGCACCTTCTAAAAAGAGCCCAGATTGTGCAGTGTTATCTAATTTTCTTTTGTTCCCGAAACCGGCACAGTGACGTCTTTTCGACGGGCCAGATTAGCGTGCAGCAGTATTGTATCACTCATCACTGGAGCCCCGGAGCACTGTCCACGCTGGTAATCTGCTCACACTGAATGCCACAAACAGTGGTATAATCTTTCAAAACAATGACAGATTTTCCTCTGCTACAGACAACTGAAAAAATGTTGGAAATTCCCAGCAGCTCGGTCTTTTGTTCCGAGTATGGTCTTTTGTTACAAGGCCCAGGTCCCTTTGTCTGATTTCGGGTACCCTGTCTGTGCATATTAAGTCAACGTCTCCGAACCGAGCTCCCCAGCAACAAGTGGTGATGCTCTTCATTTCATCATTTTTGCTTTTGGTGATCCAGAAATGTGCCTCAGTAAACTCAGGCACTCACAATGAGCCGCTTGCGAGTTAAATTTGAATAAAATCTGAATTTGAATAAAAATAAAATAAGGTTAACTGAGACACAAAGGTGCATGTTGAAGGTCTGTATTAAAACAAATTGATTGCAGCTACCAATTGACCCTAACCCCCTAGGGTGTATGTAAAATCATATTGAAATTGCAGGATTTGGGACTGTTAGGGTTAAAGGATTGTTTGCAGTGCAAGAGCAATGAGTATTTTCACTGAGACTAAACAAAACCAACTTCCCACACTAGGAAGGTGAAGGTGTGGTGACAATGTGTACAATAGAATTCAAACCTGTACCATGCATTCCAAGTAAATGACAGATTTCGATGATCGCCTTGTGGATTCTCTCGTCGGCAAACTGCTTGAAATGCTTTCGTCTGGCCGGGTACGGTTGGAAGGTGTCCACAGCACTCACTGCCGATTCTGCCACCAGAAAAAAAAAATCAATTCCAGCCAAGAACCCTCATCGGTTTCGTGAAGATAGAGAGTTCTGCATTTATGGAGTGGCCAGAAGATGAGCCGTTTTTTTCCAACATCTGACACTTGCTCCCACAAGAGTTTATTATCATCAATAGGCAAAAGGTCATGGGACAGGTACCAAAGAATGCAAGCAGACCTAACAGTGAATACAAGTTGTGTAATCAGCAAATGGGAGAAGTTTAATAAGTGATTCCTGTATTACGGTTTGGATTGTGGGCCAAGTACCTGCCTATGACATCACCATGTGATATACAATGGGATGAGGTAATATGCATTTTTATCACCTGGTCACATGATCATTCAGTGCCACTGAAAATACTGTTTCAAGATATGAGGCATAACAAACTCAAATTACAACACCTTGTTGCTACTCCATATAATACTTCCATCCTGAGTCACTTAACTTTGACCACTGATCTGCCTGTTCCCCTAAAGAACTACTTTCCAGCGACAGGGCTTCACTATGCCTTTTGCGAGTTAAATTTGAATAAAATGTGGTACACCGAGTTATCTGATTGCACATAACACAACGTAAATTCTCCAGACTAAAGACACTATTGCTCTACCTTCTGATTCTGGGCAAAGATTTTGCATAGTGACAAGTGACAACCATCTACGGAATTGACTGGTTCCTTTGTGCCCTTTTTACCCACTGAAAACAGTGTATTGGTGCAAGGAATCTCTTATTTAACTACGCAAAAGCTTGCCCGAATCACAAAGTATAGTAACAGTGTTTTTAGTATGGAGAATTCAAATTATCAAGTTCTCGTGAATTTAAAACACTCGGTGTACCAAGATCTATTCAAATGTAACTCACAAAATGTCTATTGCCGATGGAAACTCAAATATTTACCTGGACGAAGAGTTGCCTCTTCTAGAATCTTAATGTCCCTGAGGTCAAGCTCCAAGACTTGGAGGAGTGCTAGAGACAGACGCCTGAGATGGGCGACGGAGTGCAGCAGTGAGGATATCCTAGGACCTGGGTTATTAAAAGGGAGAGAAAATGGCGGAGGAACAAGGGTGTCTGACACCTGGATTTTTCGGGGTGGGGGAGGGGAGCACTCATTACTGGCAAACTGCTGAACCATTGACACTGGAAGGGGTCAGATCCGAAGTATTTCCAACAAAACCGGTGATTTTTATCAACTTTCCAGCCCTCTTTGTTACTCTCGCTTCTTAGTTTCTCTCTTGGTTCATTTTTTTTTCATTGTTTTTCAAGGGTCAATAAAAAATTTAGGGTTGCTGGGTTTTCCTGGGTGGGATTTTGACCCAGTATCTCCTACATACTTGTGCAGGTGACCTCATTAGCCAAGGCCAAAGGTTACTTTATTATTTCATTCCAGGCTGCCTTAGAGGCAATTACCGTTGAAACTAGCAACATACCAAGAAGTTTCAGATATCCAATAACCAGATTTAATCTTGCCAGCTTTGTAGCATCATCTGGAAAGAAAGAAAAGTTAATGTTTAAAGGTTGAGATGAAGGGATGCTCGAGAGGTTACCATTAGATCATTCCAAGAGGTTGGGGCACGATTTGTGACGGTGTCCATTGCTACGTGGGTTCCGTAAAAATGAACAGCTATTTCCCTGCATGTAGATTCCAATTTGACATTTTTGGTCCTTTAAAATATGATTTGACTTACATGGAATCCTCATTTTGACGGAGTAGGCTTAAAAAACCACCTGTGCTCGTTATCCTATGACAATTTTTGAATATGTAAAAATGCAAATGAGTGATGTACATAAATGAATAATTAATGATGCAAATGACATTACCTGCAGTCCTCATCAGCCGTGGCAGCGCAGTCATCAACGAGTGCAGGTTCTCCTCTAGGAGCTCTACAAGGGGTTTCCCTACCCCATCCCCTTCATCCTCCCCACCCATGTGTGCCTGGGCAAACCTCTCCAGAACCGCCTTGCACCGGGCGGCCACCTGGTCGTATTCATCGCCGACAAGAGACACCAGGAGCTCTAGGAATTTTGGAATGCTGGCCGACAGCGAACTAGAATGGATGAAACAGAAGGAGGTTAGGACCTAGAGAGGACAGTAGACAAGGAGGGCGTGCCTGGCATGTAATTCATGTCAACAGTTTGGATCCATAAGGAGCAAGTACAAACATGAAAAGGGTATGCAGGCATGAAACTTAGAAAATACGAAGAGGACGATGCATTGCCAAGGGAAGCAATGCCTTCAGGCTGTTCTCTAATGGGTCTCGAGCTGGATCAAGAGAGAGCGCTATTTCCTTAGCAACAGATGTTCCTTCGGTACTAACTGCGCATCGCTGGTTCACAAACGACTAGGAAACGCAAGGATTGCAGTCACATCGCCACCAACAAAATTAACACTCCTGACCGACGTGGCTCTTTTCAACCGATGAGGGGGTACTTCTGCCTGAGGCAGATACTGTTTGCGTACATTAATTTTAATGTTCTGTTTCCAGCACTCTCATTTGGAGTACTTTATCGGATGCAATGCTCCAATTCTATTACGTTACAACGTGGAAATCATTTGCAATTTGAAAGCATGTGGCAACTTATATCGTAACTGAAAGAATCAGTCTCCCCTCCAACTGTCTAATATCAAATGTTTCCTAAAACATTTAGCAGTAAATATAAATGTGCATACACAAAATTGGGCCTTTATTACTAAAACAAAACCACTTCATCTCCACATGTACCCATTTGTGAATGGTCAAGGCAAACAATTGTAGTAACATATCTTGTTCCTAGGCATACTCTCAGAATTCAACATTGTCACCAGGGGGGACGGAAGGGGTTTGCGCATGATGTGAGCACAACGATCTGTAAGCCTATTCCATTCATTAAAAGAGGGGTGTTCATAAGAAACAGTTTCATTTAAAGTTACAATCTCCAGCGTTTCCATTATCTACAAGGATTATTGAAGAACTTGTTCTGTTTTCAACATGCACACAAGCCGTTTGTTTCAGAAAAGGATTCCCATTTCAGCTTCTCGATCCAGTTATGAATCCTGCACGCGAACGCGTTTATAATGCACACGCTGCGCTGTGATCTCCTCGAATTAACACCCCTAAATTCAATGCATAACGATATAATTTGTAAAACTTCCACCTTCAACATTGAGTTTTTTCCTAAAATCCTTCCCTTCAACATGACCTTTATTCCACGTTATAAAAAACGATTGATGCGTCTCATTCAAATTTTGTCCATTGCTTTTGGGTATGCGTATAGTAAAATAATTCTTCACGTTTGATCAATACTTACAGCGCGTGGAGATGCAGCACGCACGACCAACTGTCACACACAAAAGCGCATGCGGGCAACGCTATGGCATATTGGCACGGCACGGTCAAAAAGGCATTGCAGGTAAATAAAATATCTCTCCCGAAGACAACTTTCATTTCGAAAATCAACTTTTCTGATACCAGTTAAAGTCCCATATAAGAAATACCGGTATATCATATAGGTTTAAACACTCTAATTCACAGTTGAAATTAATTATCAATTATCAAGCTGTTTGTGGATCGCGGTCCATCTTCACGCAGCTAAGAAACAAAGGATACACAATACTGAATGAGAAGAGTTTGAACGTCCCGGTAGGGGGCGCTTGTCGCACAACACCCTTCCGTCCCCTGATTGTCACCATATACGTTTTTAAATTTTTTACCCGGGCACATCCGAGATTATTCAAGATTATTCACTTCAAGACTACTCCATAATCTATTTCTCAATACCTTTTGCAACTGAAAAGAAGCTTCTCTGAAAATATCACCATTGCGAGGCGTATCTTCCAGTTGGGGTTAGTTGCCATGGCAACAATGCGACCAATCAGAATGTCCAGTTTCTTGGCAGTCGAGTCCACCCATTTGGATGTTCTTTCCACCCACAGATCTCTTCCTGGGCACTTGGCCTCACCTTCTTCCAATAGCGGGCATTTATTGTCTTCATTCGATTGGTTCGGAGTGTAAAGGTCATCCATCACCATGGCAACAATTTTAGACCAGGTGTGGATTGCCGCCTAAGCAAAATAAAGAACATCATTAACATTTCAAACAAGGATTGTACACATAAATTTCAATCATGTTAATTTTCCTCATAAAGTACTCTTTGTTTTAAAATAAACAAGGGAACAATTTGGGGAGAACAACTTGATGCAAAATGTCTGTAGCACTGATCAGAATCATTTAAAAATCCCGGAGACTTACGACTGTAACTTTCTGTTGTTCACAGGTGAACATGCCCATTGTACACAGCGAAGCATTCACAGATAAGACAAAAGAAGAGAAAAGAAAACAGTTTCATCTTTTAATCATTTATCTCAATTCCCACTTTCAACCTTTTTTACAACCATGACAACTGTGACCCATCCCAACAAAACGAGTCACAGGTCATCAATGCTACATTTTCGTGGAGATTTTTTTCCTCACATTTTGCACAACAGCAATCAGTAGAACTTTCTTATTTCTGCCCGTATAATGTCCATGTTTATTAGGGTACCAAACCTAGCCATAAACTGAAAGAAGAGCCAATGTTTCTCCCTAATATGCATGAAAATCAAGTAAGTTCAAAAGAGGCACTTGGGACTCATTTTAATGGTTCAGATCACAATTTACAAAGGATTCAACACAAGTTCATTTCAAAACTATTTCTAGCCAATACATTTATGAAGCTTTGAAAACAATTATAAATCAGACAGTGTTGAGGAAAAACGTTTTGCTTGACTATTGACGGCAAGAGACAGCATGTTAAATCCACATAACCTGGGCAATACCCAAATTTTTAAAAGCACATGCAATGACCGTACGTGTGAAGCATTTAACTATAATCGTCTTTTTCCCTGGAGTGAAGGCTCCAAAAATCAGAGTGGGACAGACATAATTTTCATGTAAGGGGATGAAAATCCCCCTTGCCCATGCCCTCCCCACTTCCAAGAGAGATGTAAGCCTTGCCCCATCGGCCCCTCCCCTCCACCGCCATTGTTGGAAATCAATCAAACTATTCAGCTATTTGTCATGTCCCCCGCGTCATGTCTGTATTTATCAGTATGTCAAGCTAAGCGATCTTTCTGTAGATCAAAATGAAACACTGAGACTGCTTCAACTCAAGTGGACAACACCGTAGTTGAAAAAGTCCACAGCTCGAGTTTAGGATGTGTCGTTGTTACCCTCCAACTTCAGTGCTGGGATGCAAACACGACTGAATGTTTAAATGGTGTGGCGATCAGAGGACAATCTTGGATTAGATGTTGATAAAAACCGTAGGAGATCATTTTGTATTTCCATAAGTAACATGCGGCAAAAGAACCTGTTTGTATTCATGGAAAAGTCGTCGAACAAGTGGGTGGACAGCACTGAATCACTTGGGACACTTGTAGCCGATGACATTATGGGAGATGTCAATTGCACAGAAAATGCTGATGTTTGTTCTTTCTGTGCAAACAGAACACATGGGGGGAATGGAATCAGTGTATTTTGTAGTCAACCGTTATCGGGCTATCAATAACAGCATTCTTTGCTCTTCAGTCGCAGTTTGATTTGGAGGAGTTTCTTTTAAGGATCTCCATGGAAGTTGAACTCTGATCGGGGGTGGGGGGAATCAATAGGCAGCTGTTATCAGGCTATCAAAAACAGTATTTGTTGCCTGTCGGTCATTGCTTGCTTTGGAGGAGTTTCTTTGAAGGATCTCCATGGAAGCTGAACCCTGTCGTCAGATCAGCAGACAAGATCATCTTTAATGTATTTACTGTATATCACCCGAGGTTTGAACTGTTGACATTGGCTGAACAAAGGTTATATCTTATCTTGTGTTCCAAAAAGTGTGGCACAGTAACAGGTGGATCACATGCCACAGCCCTGAGAGGGGTACGGAGGTTCTTACCTGACCCTGTTTGGTGTCACCCAGTATGACCCGGCTGAGCGCCAGGCTGATGCCCGGCAGGAATGAGGCGAAGCATGCTCTGGATTCCTTGATGGTGTTGCTGGCTAATTCTCCGCCTCAAGGAGGAGACAAAAAAGTTAAAATCTCAGCAGCTGAAGTAAGATGACAAGCCAATGAGGCAAATTGATTGGCTTGTCATCTGACTGATACACAACAAAGGACCCAACAACATAGTGCTTTGAGTCTGGGGGGATCATTCAAGCATCTGATGAGCACTGCGTTAACTGACCTAGGCCCTGGTTCAACTGTAATCTTAGCTCTGTTTCAACTGAATCTGGTCTTGGGCAAACGGATAATGTAGAAGAAGTTCACTGATCTGAGCCAATAATCGACTGGCTGTGGCAGTGCAGAAACTGATCATACCACAGGATCAATTGACCTGAACAATGTGCGCAGTTCAACTGATTTGAGTCAAGGGTTAACAAACTAGAGATCTTGGTCTACTCAAGAACTATGTCAATTGACCTAGCACTGGTTCTACTGACCTGAATTCAGATAGAGTCAACTACCCTGTCAAATCAGTCAGTGGAACTGAAACTGGGCCATATGACCTGAGCACTGGGTCAAGTAATATCAGGCCTGGGATGGAACAGGGTCAATTAAAAGGGTTGAAATGACCTGAGCAGTGAGTCAACTGAACAGAACGGGGTTAATAAAATCCATGTGCTGCAAGTCAAGCGACCCAAAATCTGGGTCAACTGACCTGCATTGCAGCTGAAGGAATAAGGCATAAGCCTTTTGCAAGTTACATTTGAATAACATCTGGTAAAATATCTAATTGCCCATAAACATAACAATTTGAATTCCCCAGACTAAAGACACTGTTGCTATGGAAACAAGTATTGGAACAGTGTCTTTAGTAAGGAGAATTCAAGTTGTTATGTTCATGTGAATTTAAAGAACTCAGTGTACCAGATTTAATTCAAATTTAACTCACAAATGGCTGATTGAGAACCAGGTTATTACACGGTGGTTGCCGCTGGGACAACTAACCTCCACACTGAGCAAGATGTTGCAGACACATCATGGCCTTGACCCTCAATTCCTTCAGTTTCTCGGACTCAGCCATTCCCAACAGGACGGAAACAGCATGGCCCGCGGCTGGAAGGAACTGCGGACTGTACAGACGACTAAGGACACTGGGAAGAAACAAAACAATCATTTCAACAGAGAACGTAGAGCAATTCACACTCCAAAGAAAAGTTTACCATAGCAAAACCAGGACGCATATCAGCGTGAATTGTGAAAAAGTTAGAATCGAGTCCGTCACAAGTCCTTTGGCAAGACCAGCCATAAATGACGTGGGGGGGGGAGAACATTGACGCAGGGATGATTTGGTCACAATTGGCTCAGATAGCTTGTGATTGGCTCCAGACTAAATGAACTGTGAGAGTCTTGAAGGGACCTGCGATGGACCGACTACGAATGTGCAACGTGTGCCCGTTTCAAAAATGATTTTGTGTAGCACAGGTATAAGGTGCTCAGTGAAGGTGCGGGCAAGAAAGACTCACAAGTCCGAAGCGCTCTTCAGCAAGTCCTCCAAGCACGAGACAACGGCCATCTTTAACTCCTCGGCTGGGCTTGAAGCTGAAAGGAAACATGAGACAACTAAAAAGGTCTGTACGCATTTATTTGGTGGGGGAAAAAAGCAACATGATCTATAATAATCAGTATGTTAAGTGTGCACTGGAAAACTGCCATTCCTCGGGTTACATTTCTCGTGGACATGTTCCTCTGTTTTGAAGGTTTCATATTCATTTCATTGCTCATCAAAAGGTTATAAACAATGCATTATGAGATCTTTTGCAAATCTTATTAGGTAATTGATGGGATGTGTGATTCTATTTGAAGTCTCCTTTTCAGGACAGATAAAGACATATTTAGTCTCCTTTCGAGCCACTCAGCAGTGGCAAATGCACACAAACCTCCTCCAACGTTGGCCTCCGGACTGACAAGAATACAGAGTGTGGAGAAGAAGTCAGAGAAGACGGGCCAGTCCCTGACCATGGTGCAGGAGAAGATCTTGCTGATGCACCCTAGGGCATTCTCGCAGCAACCGGCGGGCCTTTGGGAGATGAAGTACACGAAACACTGCGAATGTTCAACTGCACTTCAAACCACGAGGTTGTCAGAATGAGCTCAGAAAATCCGGCATGAACAGAGATTCTGTCCTTATCACCGGATATTCTGTCCCGGGACAGTTTCTCTCTAGGAAATATTGTCCCCCTCTGGGATGTTTTGTCCCCTGCTTCAACAGAGAATTCATCTACCCAAACCCCTTCCCCAGGATCTGTCAGACTGTCACCCACGTGAGAAATAGTTTTCCAACATCAAAAGTGGATATGGCATTTCAAATTCAGCCACACTGATGATTTTTCCAGGGGGGATGGGTTACCTGGACATTTTTCAGGGTGGGGAAACTAAGCACTCATCAGTAGCAAACTGATTAACAGTGGACGGGGGTATTTATGGGGTATTTTCAAGCAAATTGGTGATTTTTCATCACGTGATCTCATGTTTTTTTCCAGTTTTTTCCCTTTTCTTTTGTTTTTTGGGGTGGGGTGGGCATGTGCACACTCATCATGCCAAATGGCTGCCTGGCTTGACAGCCATTCCTCTGATGTAATCAACACCCTTGACGGAATAACAATGTGCAGGCCTACTCCGAGAAAAGAATCTTGATTTCAAACTGGGACACAGCGTAAAGCTTTCCACATCTGCCGACAACTGATCAAAAAGCAAAGCTCATCTTGACCTTATAACAACTCTACTATTCTACCTAAATGCTGTTTACTCTTACATTTTCTTGGGCTCTCGGAGCACCAGGCGAAGCGGGAACAGAAGGTACTGCTGGAGAGGTTCAAGGGTGCCCTCGTCCATCCCCTCCAGGAGAGTCCTGAGCTGCTCGACGGTGCTGTTGGAAGGCTCCTTTGACAGCCTCACGCATAGGGGCCGCAGCCTTTCAAACGCTGACTGCGTCATCTTTAAGAAACTACCTGCAAGGCGCTGAAATTAAGGATGTTCCACTGACGCGTGACTGAAGGTGAAACTTTGATTTGTTTCAAACCAATCCAAATCCTACAAATAAGGCATACTATTCGTTAGGCACAAATTCATGACCACCAGAACTGTTCAGACGACAAATCCCAGAGTTCTGAGCAAAGTCAGTACTTGCAGGATATTTTGAGTATCGATCTCTTCTCATGAAAATGAAGATGACGAAGTCAGACATGTCGGAATGACATAACTATGGAACCAAATGAATCATTAATATAAAACTACCAGCGTAAAATTATTAGCCTGGTTCAGTTCCCCAAAACACTCACCATGATAAACAATTGACACAACAATATCTTGAAGTCATAGTTATTAATAAATAAGGTCTCGTGTCAATAGTCGATAGAATAACAAATAACATTAACTCAGGTTAACGTTTTGTCAGCTGGTCAATAAGGCCCTAACATGCCTAGCACATGTCAATCTTGAGAGCTATTCACTGCCCTATGGCTGGGGCTAAACATGCTTCACTAACAAGAACATGCCTAAAAGGCCATGAGAATAGAAGCTGTAGATTCACATCCACTGCCAGCTTGTACCAAAGCCACCTCCCCCCAAAAAAAATCATGAGGGGCCTATAATTACAAAAATTTCATTATTCCAATTTGTAACTTAAGACAAAACCACAAAAATACATGTAAGAGTTCCAAATTTTCTAGTAGCTGCATAAAACACCGTATTTATGCATTTTGTTCATACTTACATGAAGTGCAGTTTAGACAGCTTTCGTATGTTTAAGTGTCATGCTCCCAAGGCATACAAAGTGGGAGTGTGAGGGTTGCCCCTAGCCGTTGATTCCAAAAAAGAATCAATGGCATTTCTCTCAGACTGAGTTGGACATTGATACTTCTGATCCTTATTGACCTGATCCATGAACTTATGAAGGGCTGACCGGATGACCACGCCTACATGATGATGATACATGATGCAGGCCTTTCTCATTCCTTAGACCCGTAAACAGGGCCCTACATGTAGAATAAAGAAGCATACATAGGGCCCTATTTACGGGTCTACTCTTTTCTCAGCAAGGCCTTTGGTCATCTTGGTTGTAGGTTCACTAGCACCAGTAGGCCTACTAGGCCTAGATGGGGCGGCATGGACATCCGGGACTCTTGCAAAATGGTGGGTAGGCCTGGCAACCGAGGAAAACAACTGTAACAAAGGCGTGTGTATATGTACATGTAGGTACTGATAAAAAAAGAATGTGTAATCCAATCCTTTGACTAGCTGGTGCACCCCTACGTCACCATGGCACAGTTGCGGTTTTCATCGGTTAGGCCTACAGTAGGCCCTACCCAGTACCACCATTTTCATGATTTTGCGAGAGTCCCACATGTCTGCGCCACCCCATAGGCCTCTTTGAATGACTTGAAATTTATGAAAAGTGTCTATACTTGGACATGTTGGAGGTTACTCGGTCGAAAACCATGATTGAAAACCGCCGCCTAGCGCCTTTCCCCTATTTGTTCCTTGCTCTATACCCCTACCCCCAGAACTGTGGGGTCCAACGTCCACCACGGGGGAACCTTTCCCCTACATGAACTGAGAAATGAAAAAATGCCTCGTGTTTTTGGTAAAATGTTAGGACGTAAATCTACAAGTACAACTTCCACAGTCACGACAGTCACAGCCTAGCGTTGTTTTTAATACTTTTTTATAGGCCTAATGACTTGATATGCTTGACCATGTTGACTGTGTCACTTTGAAGATCTTTTCCTTTGAAAAACTACAGAATCTATCAGACTATCTTGGCATTCCTTTCGCCTACCTTAAAAAATTAAAAAGGATCATCCAGTCACTGAAGGCCATAATCAGCGAGAAAACTTGTCACACAGGCATATGATCGGAGTACATGAGTTTTGGATAATTTAGTGGGACCGCAGAAAGAAGAGCGCCCTCACACAGACAGTGCGGGCAAAACACCGTTCTAAGCAAAGATGGTATAGCGCCGCTGTGTTTCGCGGAAAAAAATTGAGGAGCGTGTAGAGGTCTTTCTGAGGAAGGATAGGTAGATATGTACTTGTTAGGGAGGGAGATATGTGGACAGCGTACGAGAAGTTTATCAAGATTTGATGACTGAACCTGGGAGCAAGCAATGTGGACAGGGTGGTGAAGATCGACTGTTCTTCGGAAAATGGGTGGGACGGATCTGTCAGTAGGCTAAAGAGACTGCCCAAGCAGATTTTGCCAGAACAAGGCATGCTCCTCGAAGCCAGGGCGTCGGCCCAGATGCAGTGCTCAGCTGAGATAGCCCTGCTATGTTAACGTTGTTTCCGGATGCAACAATGAAGTGGGGCTACCACTACGGTACTTACGGTGTGGCACTTGCGTCTGGCAAAATGCTAACGCTTGGGCTTCGGCGCATCAGGAAGTGCTGAAAGCAAATTGAACGGATTTCAAGATGTAATGAAAGATGTTGCGAAGCAGACAGAAAAGAGGTAGTAGGACTTTGAACGAAATTGTTGCATTGATAAAGGAAGTTGTAGAGGGATGGGACAGGATTAGTGCAGAAGAACAAGAGAGTGTGAAAAGGATGAACCACTTTTTTTTTTGCGGCATGCATTTTATGGTGGGTTTGGCTGACCAGGCAAGGGTTTGATTAAAGGTGTGGGAGAAACAGCTGAGCAAGGGGTGTATGGCTGGAAGAAAGGGGGTCTGAAAGAGGCTGACATGATTGCGACGGATCTGATGGGACGAAAGGTTGAATATTTGTGGCTAGATGAAGATGGTGAGCAGATATGGGGTAAAGTGAGAATTCTTAGCGTTGGAAAAGATGGACTGTATGATATGGAATATAGCCAGTCGGAGTGGATGTTGAAGATGTGAATGACGACTGGCAGTGTGAGGTTTTAGCTGATCCGTTGCTAGAGGATTACAAGAAGCTAGAGGTAAAATTTGTATGAACTACTGGCGTAAGAGCACCAATGATGTTCGCTACTCGTATTGCCAAACGAGAGAAGTACCAGTCCCATTGTTTGTACACATATGTACTACCTACATGTGCTCGGACCCCAAAACTTAATGTTCTCAGTAATCAGAATTTGTAAGTACTCGTTACCACGAAAACCTAACTGTGACAAAACAAATTTGTTTACAATGAGGCGTGGACCTTATTAAATCTTGTGCGAACTCGCATATAATAATTATATAGCATGTGGCAGAGATCTTCTTTTTGATTGATGAAAAACAGAGAAGTGGATCACATGCACACATTTCCAAAAGTGGCATAACTTTGAGATTGAGTGCATTGCTAAGAATGTAACTTGTTATAACAGCATCAGTTCATGACTTTTTTATCTCGGGGGGGGGGTGTCAGAAAATGTCGTGGCCTGATATGCATAAAAGCTTTCTTCAAATTTAAATTTCTTTGCACCTGCACTCGACCCAATTCTTTAAATTCTGTGTAGTTTATTATGTTTTTCTCAATTAAGTTGTTTTTATAAAGATAGTTCCAGTTTAAATTGCACAGTACATTTATTTGTTTCATGTAGTTTATATAGTACTTTCTGTTATATGTAGTGGGGAAGTGTGTGCATCGCTTCCTTTTTCTGAAGGAAAAGGACCGGTGAATTGTCTTGACCGATGCTTCTTGGTTATGGAGAACATAAATCATATGCATCCTGCTATGCTTTTAAATACATGTACTAGTATAGTAACAAGGAATGGAACTGGAGTTTCACTTGTTGCTTTATTCCCACAATTGCTACTTTTATTGAAGAATAGTTCATGGGAAATTTGTAAAAGGCACTCCACAAGGTACTTAAGCACAAAATTTACTGTTGAATGACCTTGATCCAATCAGTGATAACCTATAGTGGGCATGAAGCTTCCAAATTATTTTTGATTTTTGCACTACCCGGGATTTTTTTTGTCTTAACAATTCATAATTCAACAAGGTACCAACAATCAGCAAGATGCACGTGGGTTGCCTTTTCTTAATTTATTGGAAAGGAACTTAAATGATTAATGACTTTGGGTTGGCCAACGCAAGCAAATGCCGGAAACATCAGCACCAGTTCCGGTAAGAAACAGTCTGAGTGAAGAATTATCACTGGTCATTCAAGTAAGCAACAGCAGTTGAAGTCGATCGATACAAGCAGTCGTCAAAATTGAAAAAAGCCCTCTATCAAGGGCCACACATGTTCCCAAGAGAGACAGAGCTGATGTCTGTCCTTATCAGTCATTGCATCTTGTAATTATCAAGACTGACTCGAGATTTGTAATTCCCATCTGGTGTGCAGCGATTCAGTTCTGTAGACTGGAATATTCAAGACTCAGGTAAACAATTTTGAGTTTAGCTTGACCTCATCATAGTTACTAGCTTCTTTATTTCAAAATTTATAGTGAATTTCAAATGCAGTTTAATACACAGTGAAATTTATTAGGGGCAAACCTCTGTTTTCAATGTGGTTTGTAAATAACGATTTAAGCAAATTTTCCCAAAGTGATTTCTGTGAATTTGGTTGCGAGGCAACAACTTGTTCCGAAGTGGATACTTCTTAACGCTCTGTAACTTTGGATTACCAGGGTCAATTTCGGTAAAACAAACGCAGCTGGCTTGTGGGAAGCAGCTCTAGGGTTTCCACCACAGTGCAAGGCCTTGGCTTAAAGCTGAAATTGGGATCGTCATCCGAGTTGTAGCTTGCCACACCACGCGTAAACCGTGGGCGCCACTATCTTGAATAAAATTCTGCGATGGCTGTTTTGAGAGCAATTATACCTTTCGGGCAACCGAGTATAGGGCTAGGGAACTAATTTTTAAGAAAGAAAACGTCAAGACACGTTTAACGCTTTGCTTTTATATAATATAACAGTTCAATAAAATATATTTAAATAATAAAATGTCAAATGATTGAAATTGTTTCTAAAATAAATTTACAAAGAAAAGAAAAAAGTCTTAAACTTGAAAATAACAAGCAGCTGTTACTCGGCGCCGATACTTGAGAAAAACTGGTTACTATTGGCGAAATGGTTAAGGATTAAGGATTAAGGTTAAGGATTTAAACATCAAACCAAAACGACCACTGGCAAATAAAGATGCTCTCGTTAATTATTGGCTATGGCCACCTCAAAGCCTATTCCCGTATTAAACCTTGTATTATCATAATCGTTGAAGCCCACTTTATAATAAAACAACCCTAAAGATGCGATGACTTTATCCATTATCACCCTGAAAGCACAGGACCACACTGGCTATATAGTTTCCAATAAAACCTAAATTTTTCATTTAATTAAGTTTAAATGATAAATCTGGTGGACAATGTGCTGATTACAGCGTGCCAATGCCACCGAGTTTAAGGGATATTAGTTTCAATTGCTGGGTATATTCATCAGCTTTTAAATTTAAATTAGAAGTATTCACAAACAATACACTTCGCAACAGAAAGTTTCCACTGGTAAAACCTTCTTTTGCTGATTTTTTTTCAGGTTTCAGCAAAGGTATGTGCCATGCAGTTTTAACCTTAAAATAGCTTGGGGTGAATCCACCGCAACATTACATTTTCTCCGGTATAGAGGGTTTGCATGGTTGCCATCTTGCAGGCCAGAAAACATGCAGCGTGAGCACAAAGGAGGTTTCCCCTTGGAACTAAAGAACTATACCGTGCAATATGGCTTCCACGCAAAGCCTGTATTCTTGCGGTGCGTTCATTCCCTACACAGTGTCTTCAGGATTATTTTTCGGGGTAAAGCTTTACAATAATTTTTAACATTAATTTTGTGAAAATCAGATATAGGCTACCATTCTCGCGAAACACTTATTTTGAGACAGGTCAATCAAAACCTGTTTCCTTTGGCGTGCTTAAGGCACGTTGGCGTACACACGTTAGGCTGTGAAGCTTCAAATATAAAGACCATAAAGAACAACACGCCGTGTTGGATTAAATTGAAACTACCCATGTCAAGTTTCAAAGGGGTTAAGTGGGTAACAAGTGAATTTTTGGCCCGTGAGATACTCCAGCTCTTAATTATGATACCACTATTGGCTAAATAAGGTATGTCGACACAACAACAAAAAGGTTGGGGGTTCGGCCGAATTTTCGTTGGGTGATAGGGACACAGCCCCTCACCCTTGTCGCCAGTCATCTCGGTACGTCACTTGTTGATCCAAACCTCACACTCGAGCCTGTTATGAGGGGAGGTCCTCAAAGTGACAGAGATAAGCCCCAAAGCGTAGTGAGTCGAACCATGGAGGAATTCAACACGGACCATTTTTTTCCCATTTTGAACTTAACAGAGTTCTGGGCTACTGAATACAGTTATAGTAAACGGCTCAGCTGGTCAACCCTTTACACAGTGTCCTACCAGGGATGCTATCCGTCTTGTGACCTCAGCTGAACCATTAGTAGGTACTAAGATTTTATATGTTTGTCATTGATCCCCTCACACAATGTGTTACCAGTAATGCTCCTCATCGTGTGACTCCAGCTGAACCCTGAGGTAGTAGGTACCCAGAGGTTTACAAGTTGGTTATCCCCTCACACAATATGCTGACAGGAATGCTCCCCGCATGTAACCTCAGCTGAACCCAGAGTTAGTAGGTACATGTACTAAGAGGTTTACAAGTTGGTCACAGATCCCTTCATACAATGTGCTACCGGGAATGCTCCCCACTTGTAACCTCAACTGAACCCTGAGCTAGTAGGTACCAAGAGGTTTACAAGTTGGTCACCCCCTCACACAATGTGCAACCAGGAATGCTCCCCGCTTGTAACCTCAACTGAACCCTGAGCTAGTAGGTACATGTACTAAGTAGTTTACAAATTGGCCACCCCCTCACACAATGTGCTACCAGGAATGCTCCCTTTCATGTAACCTCAGATAAACCCTGAGCTGGTATAAGTACCTCGAGGTTTACAAGTCAATCACCACTTTACACGTATGTTACCGGGCATGTTCTCCCTCTTGTTATTTAATTAACAAAAAGCTTTAAAGAAAAGCTCGTTTTGCTTGTACTTGACCTTTTACAAGTTGGTCACCTTCTCACACTCTGTCCGTGTGCTAGGTCTGGCCTTCCAAGTTTACGTTAGCTCTGTGTTGGGTGTACCGTCGTAAAAGGTTTTAGTCTCCCATATTAGAAATAATCTCATACAGAAATAATATGATTAAAAATTAAGCCAAACCCAGTGTAAATAAATCTTAAATAGGTATAGTTTTTGTTGTAGGAACAACTTGCTGTAATATAAAGAAAAGCAACTTAGTGCGGGCTAGACATGCAAGACCTCCGTGAAAAATTGATAAGACACTCATAACCGAACTTAACGTTTAACTTCTTATGGATTTAGCATTGTTTTGCCCATGTGTATTCTCTCACCAATGGACTAGACTAAAAAGGACAAAATTGGGTCGCAAGGCCTGCACTGTGTCACATCTAAGCACGGAGTAAAAATCATGTCCTGCCTCAAAGAGAAGTCGTTGCCAGGCTACGAAATGTCCTGTCTTGTTTCAGCATTCGAACCCTCACGGCCTAGTTCGCTCTGGTGTACCGTGGCAAATCAAAAGTGCCTTCCCCCCCAGCACCTCAAGGTGGCAGTGAACGTCCGTGGGCGTTGCTGGGAAAGGGGTGTCCTTCTTTCGTAAAAGGGGGGGGGGGCAGGCAAAGCACTCTTGCATCGGAATCTGTTGTTCAGAGATTGGCCTACGTCTTCGCCGATTTGAAACACGCAAGAATACATTGACAGTAGGCGTAGCCGTAGCTCTTGAGACACGTTCCGGACGGGGCCCAACAAATCATGACCAGTAGAGTGGAGTCAATTCTACTTTTTTCCACAGACAAATCTCTTCTCTTATAGTTTCGTTTCATTCCCTGGTTCTTTCCTTCCCGATTTTGTGACATGGAGGGGGCGGGGTCCTCCTATCCATGCAGACCCACGTATAATAGTTTATAATTACCTTACTTGAATGTTGTTTCTGAATGTAACATTCAGACTGTACTGTAAAATCTCTGATAATGAGTACTGACTCTAGTATGCTTGTTAGTGGCTCGGTCCACCAGCGCATAGACAGAATAAGCAAACATTAGAGTTTGAACTTTCTTTTGGCATGCACCTGCACAGGTTCACGGACGTTCTTCTTGAGTTCCCCTAAGATTCGTGTGGAGCGCCTTCCCTTGTTCTCCTTGTACTTGGTGAGGAGCCGCCGGAACTTCTCCACGGCCACCTCGCTGGTGAAGAGCACGCGCTCGGCGTGGTCGGTGACCACAGCCCACGTCTGATCGATGTGCTCCTCCGTCGGGTCCGGGTGGCAGACGGCGAACCGGATGACGAACTTGCCGCGGAGGGAAGTGGGAACCATGTGGGCTTTGCCGGACTGGTTGATCCGGCGCAGTAGTGTCTCCGTCAGGTTGTTCTGACCCTATACAGGGAAGCGAAAGTTGGTTACTGTGACTTCCAATTATTTTTCAGATTCGTGAAACTCACAGTGACTGAAGCATATCAAATAGAACCACAATGTTAGGGTAATTTTTCTCAGTATATTCACCCCCAGGTCACAAAAATTCACACCTAAATCGATTTTCTTCCCCGTCTGTAACGAGAACCACCAGCTATACGTTCACGATCCATGAAACCGTCGGAGGCAAAAGGTTTGCCTGAAGACAGCAAGTGAAGAAGTCTCCTTAAAATGTGCATTGTTGCGAGCTCCTCTTTTTTGATGTTTTACATACCTTGAGCCGAAAGCAAACCAGCCCGAAAATTACGTCACCAAGCACCTCAAATCTGTCATCTTGCTGCACCAGAGTCTCGAACCGTTTGGCCATGACCACATGCTATCAACCGCACAGACAAAGTGACAGTAAGTAACTTGCATGCATCTTTTCGTCGAGAAGTTTTCTTTTATGTGATGTGGTGCGCGTTCTCTGAGCGAAGGACGGCTCATACTTGGCGCGAAAGCGAACGCCAAATAATGCGAATTAGGGTGGGCAAAAGTTCAACGCATTTCAACTCCAGCGAAATTCTGCCGCAAATCTTTCGTGACGTCAAATTCGCGCCGCAGTCAAGTTCTTCTGAAGTATGAACCGGCCTTCACGCGCAAACAGATACTACGAACGAAGGAGAATGGTGTATAATGTACTAGATTTGTTTCCAATACGTCTCGCTTCGGCCTACCGATCGAATGTAACGCTGCAGCCCTTCCACGCCGTAAGTCCTGATGACAAACCAGAGCTTGAGAGAGCGGAAGCGACGACTCAGGGGAATGGTCCAGTTCTGTAGAAGGGGAGGACAGATACCAGTCAAGCCGACTTTGATCGAAATACTCAATAAGACCCGTGACAAGCTTGACTGTAGTTACACATTGTGGTGTCGATACCGATTATGTCGGCTGGGTTAGCAGTTGTGACGATGACGTTGGTGACAATGGTGAGAAAATGGTGACAAAATCAAAATGATGGAGTTGGTGATGGCTTTAGGGTTTATGTTTACGGTAGCGACAAAGACAAAGGCACCGATGTCACGGATAAAGTGGAGATCATTAATATGACGGGGACAGTGTCGAAATTGGTGGCAGATTAGAGACGGTCATGCTGATGATGCTGAAAATTGGAAAGATTGTCATTTTGATGACCGCATTGGAGTTGACAATGAACCCGAGGGGAGTAATGCCTATCATTACAGGAATTATGAGGATTGGCGAGGAGAATGTCAAATGACAAAGACAGCGATCATGACAACGATGACAGTACTTAATAGGCCTTCATACCCTGTAGTCGATCGAATGAGCTTCGTTGTCGTGCTGGAGATAAACCGGGTTGACGGTCAGTGCATTCGTCAGTGCATGCTTGTCTCGCACCCTTGAAAAAAATTGAGACAAATTATAAATGTGCAGAATCAATCTTACAAGTAGAACTCAGATACATTTCAACATTACAATTCTCATTTATTCATTGCTTTCTCAGTCAATCAGTCTTTATGCATTCGCCAATTTTAACAAGCTCATTGAACAACATTATTATTTGCAAATAAAATCTGACAGATGACTGGTGGTCAAAAGTAAACACAGGAGACATTTTACCAAGAGTGAAACTAGAATCCAACAATCAGTAGAAATTACGAAAACTAGACTTTTCTTCTCTGGCAAAATGAAAACGAAGGCCCTGTGCGGCATAGCACAGTGGTATGAACGACTGGTAAACTTTCACAAGGGACGAACAGCTGTAACTTTCTCCACCTTCCCACGAGTGACAAACGAACGAGCAAACATGAAGCACAACCGTACCACATCACTGAACAGTCGAAGTTCACCATCATCCATTTGTTTGGGTTGAAATTAAATGACGTCACATACTATAGGAACCAAAGTAAAGAAAAGAAAATAGCCACATTACCAACATGCAGTATGAATTCAGACTTCCCTTTTTTTCACAATAGAGAGAAGTCCTAATAGGCGTAATTGTTTTACAAAGTTCAATATACGCTTACGCATTTGACTTTTGTATGACCAGGGGAGTTGACCCCATGGATTGGGAGGGGGCGGTATAAGATCACTTCACGTTTTGACTGGGGGGTGGGCTATTAAATTATCTCCCACTTTTTAGTGGTGAGAATAAAAAGGCAGATTTTGGAGAATTTTTTTTCTTGCTCCCAACAACCAGAACGTTTTCAATAGTACCGGAAATGGCTGAAGAGCACAAAAACACAAATACGTCGATTTGATGTAATGTTGATAGATGTAATAAGGCCCTATGCACGGTCCTAGATCTAATAACATGCACATCTGTATCATGAACAGCGCCACCTGGTTCCGAGCAGTGCCCAGTAACCCCCCCCCGCTTTATAATTTCAGGCAAGCTTTTGACTTTAATATAAGTCATCCACCGCCGCGCCCTGTCAACGGCACAGATTTTACGAGTACGCCACTTCGCGAGACCCTTTCCTGTGCGCCAGGTAAATGGTAAGAATGGGGACTATCACGTGATGGTGAATAGACAATAAAGTGAGAATTCGTCCACTGATCATGCATGACGTGGACGCGGTATTGTACAAAATTCCATGTTCCATTTCAGCCATCTGTTCAACGGCTGGTCCGATTTTTCCAGCCTGGGCTGTATACCTGGAAACCACGCAGGAGGTACCGAAACTCCGGGCAGATGAGGGCGTTGCCACCGTAGGCGCCGTCCACATGCAGCCACAGGTTTCTCTCGGAGCACACACGGCCCAGTCCCTCCACATCATCGCACGCGCACACGCCTGTTGTACCTATAGTAGCACAGACCTGTTGAGGTTCAGGTAGGGAGGAAAAACGACGAAGATGAGAATTTGAAGACAGATGTGGTGCTTTGTTTGAAAGAACACGGTAGGACAAGACCAGATCCGGGGTTGCAATGAACAAAATACAATGAAGAATTATACAAAACTATCCGCACGGATTCTTAATTGTGCTGCCGGTTGTTATTAAAGATAGATCTCGGTTCACGCCCAACATGCTTTTTCGGTTATTTGCTCAACTCTGTCAGTCTTAAGGTCGGTTCATTATTGGCGCGAAACCGGCCTTTAAGCTAATTACAATCAAGTTAGTTTTTACGGTGTTGGCGGTATAAATTGTGCCCGCATTAGGCCTATACGACCCTCAGTCGAGCCGTGGTGCACGACTTCCTCGTGAACGGTTGACAAACACCAAATAACTAACTGTGACAGCGATTTATGGATGATAAGATCGATATATAATGAACAGAGAAGCCGTCACTCACTTGGTACATGTGTAGTATACATCCCATGCATTGATCGCCCTGAATGAGCAGGTGTGACTGATGCACATGCATTGCAAGAGGCCCAAATAAACCATAGAGGCAGAAAGTGGTGACCAGGGCCAACATAAATAGTTGTCCATGGCAGTACCAATATGTAAAAATCCTATGGCCATCACAAGATTTATGAAATTACTTGCATAATCAGACCTAAAATAATTACAGTGGGGTGATTATCAGCATTATTTCCTGTTATGCAGGGTTCGCCTGACCCGTTTTGAAAACGTATACATTTTAATAGGCCCATCGTAGTAATCTCTTTCCAAGCTTTTACCATTCATCCAAATGTCTATCAAATTAAACGCTTTCACACCCAATAGTCATCCTATCTGCGAAACTGTCCGTTATATCCCTCCGCATTCCATCCTCATCACCACAGAACGTGTAATAACAAGGGCGGAGAAATACCTTTTTTGTCCCCACTGCATGCACTACTGAGCTGGTGAGGGTTGCTTTTCAAGGGAAAGAGATTTCCCCTATAACCCCCCCTTCAACTCACAAGTTGCATCAATGCCGTAATGTTAAACAACCAACGTCTCCCTGACCGCTAAAAGGGTATAGCTGTAATCAATTTGTTTCAATTTGAAACCAATTAACCAACTTTCAAAACGCACCCGACCTTTATGTCTCAGATAACAGTATTTTCAAAATTTGTTCCACTATTTTCACGAGTGCTTTACTGCCTTTTGGCTTTTATGCTAAAAAATATTCATGAATATTCCATATTCACGAGCAAAACTGTGATGTCATTCCAGGAAGAAGGCCTCAGTGTTACAGTGATTAAAACACAAAAGTCCTGCAGTTTTGCAGTCTTTGCTGAACTGAATTTTCTCTTCTTTGCTTTTAAGCTATGTGGAAAGCAATGAGCAAGTATCAATCCCCTTCTCAAGAATGCTTTGACAAAGTATATTCTGGGTTCATGACTTCAGCAGAAAACGCTCTTCACTGACTTTCGTCTTCCCGGATGACGTCACAGCAACGCCGCGCTCAGTTGTCCAAAAAGTGTTTTAAAAAGAGCACTTTTCACTGCATTTAACCAAGAAGGAATAAAATCGTTTTCATGCATTGGAGAGGAGTACAAAGTTGCCGAAAAGTTGTGTCTAAGAAAAATTCATTGCAGCTATACTTAAAAAAAAAGAAATCATTTTCAAAGATGGAGACAACAAAGAATTACTACTTACAAAGAACGGCACGAGACCTTTCTCCACATCAATCTAATAAAGAAACGAACAAAAGCAGAAATCTAAACGTATCCACAAGCAATAAAATACCTGACCAAAATTCCATCATTTTGTAGGACTACAGCAGATAACGTCTTGGAAAAGTCGAGGGATTCAGCTTGGTAAGTGTGTCTGACCCAGACTCCTCCGAAGCTCCGTACCTGTATCGCTTTCCGCAGTGTTTCCCCTCGGAAAGCATAATGGTCGTCCGTCAGGAGTTTGCGCTTCTTCACGAAGGCGATGTTGGCGGCCTTTTCGACCGAGGAGTGGGCCTAATATCGAGGGAGACAACGGGACCACGATTATTTACCTAGATCTCACCTCACGAAAGTGTCATTGCTATTTAAATCGGCCCATCATGCCTTCTGTTAAACATTTTATGTTGTGCCAAGAAATGAGGGCAAAATGATACCAGAAGTTTGGACGTCTTTGTGTAGGTTGAAAAAGCCCAGAAACTTTACAGAAACATCACAGAAGAAAAACGTCGATAAGGGTATAGACGGTATTCAATGAGGGCTTTGTATTTTATTGCATCAAGAAACGAGGACAAGATGACAGGAGACAGAAGATGACAGAAGGTCTGGGTGTAGACTGTGAAGCTCAGAAACTTAGAAAAATAAAGGTAGATAGAACCGATGAAGGCTGCATACTCGAAACTGCGCCCGAGCTAGCATAGTACAAATTTGAAATACGACATGCGAGGTTGAAAATAGAGGGGGGCTCGAGCTGCTCACGAAAGCCAATGAAATGCTTACCATCAGCAGCTTAACAGTCCACCTAGCTGGCTACCCTTGTTTGATTTTAGTGTCTCCAGAATTATTGTCTCACCTCTTCGGAAAAGTAAGCCACGAGTTTGGAGAGGAGTACGCAGTCTTCCTCATCTGGGTAGACCTCCTTGAGCTCTTTCAGAGCTTTTGCTCGAGCTGCCAGCATGCACACCAGGGTGCACTCACTCGCAGATCCCTGCCATGTATCATAGTCGTAAACGAAATAAGTAAGGCCGGAATCAGAATAGATATAACGAGACTTTCTATGTCTGTTTGCACTAGATTATGGGGCTTCAAGATTTTCGCATTTCTCGGCTTTGAAATGAAAATGTCCTTACCATGACTGCGGTATAAAAACATGTATTGTGTTAAAAATCATGCAAAAAAAATCTATGGGTTCTGCGGAATTTGACAAACTTATAAAATGACGCATGTTTGAAAATTCTCCAATCATCCTACGCATTAGGCTCGACGAAGGCGTTGGGCGAATCTCGCCTACTGCGTACGCAGTGCATGCACCATTCATGATAGCTTAGCCTGCGCGCGTTGCGTATAGACTAATCCGATTAGTCTACGCGAATACGGGGACACGAAGTGGCTGTTGTGGATGGAAGCGTGACCCCGTATCCGCGTATCCGACATGACTGTTTCTTGGGGTGGTGTTTGTTAGAAATCCTTCCCAAAATGTCGAACGTGATAGGACAGCCCCGTGTAAAATTTCCGCAGGTGGACCGCACAATGGTTCTGCATGCTTGCTATGTGACCCTGTATTTCAGGGTCTAATGCGCCCGTGTTTGGGGCCCATAGCTCTCTGTACTGATGACGCTTAAACGCTTTGTTTGCCTGCACTCCAATCATGCTCAGTCGACCGTGGAATAGGAAAGTGAACATGAAAACACAAGGTCGTCTGATCGGCCGTAGCCCCTTTTTCTCAGCTCAGTTATTATAATTATATATGGAGCTAGTATGAGATAGTAACTTTGTGTAAGGTTCGTAAATTTATTACCAAAGCAGTGGGGGGGGGGGCGAATTAGGGAAACTAACGCCCAAATTCCATGTGGGTAATCCCTGATGGTGCAGAGCTTAGAACCTAATTTGTGACACTGTAGCCGTGTCTGCACTGAACTTTTCCCCAGTGTTGTAGTCGAGTACTTTCCGAGTCCCAACATTCTCCG